GGGACATTGCTTTGGCATCCATGGAACCCTTGACACTAGCTTGACACTAGGGTAGACGCTGACCAGTGGAAATACGTACACTGAAAAAAAAAGATGCTTTGAATTGACATGATTCAAAATGTGGTGATCAGTTGCACATGAATATGAGTTGAATATGAATATGAATATGAATTCAGCCACTTTAAGATGCACCCATTGCTGATACAGGTGTTCAACTGGGCACACAAAGCTTGTATAATCTCCATGGCCAATGGAGAACCACGGCGAATAGAATGGGACACTCTAGAGCAGCTGTATCTATAGCAGATGTCTACAAACTTTTGGACATATAGCATATTTTATTAATGTACAACTGATTGACACTTCAGAATCATTAATTCATAACCATTTATTTCCAGTGTAAAAGGTGCAGAATGAAGACGTTCTCTCACCTGACTGGCAACTTGCCAATCTGTTGGACTGTACGTTTGTATGGGTATTGCCTTGTGTGAGAAACCAAACAGATGCTCAGTTAAGCTGACACTAGCTTGAATGTGGTGTAGATGTTGACCATTTTGGCTTATGATTGTAGTGTAGGACATATAAATATTGTCATAAATCAGTATTGATTTGCTGGTAAATGCATACCAGAAATGGACGATGCTGCAAATGTAACACTAGTTAAGACAAGCTCTTTGCACCGTAAACAAGGATTGAACCAAATAGAGACATACTATACTACAAATAAACTATATGTTTAGTTTGTATTTGTTTCTCTCTTTGTCATTGGCAGTAAGAAGGAACTGTTACATGGAGGCCATGTAAAAGCCATGTGTTAGGGCCGCTATATTTGCATTTTTAAAGAGTCTGTACATCCATAAATATGATTTTTAAATGGTTAATGGTGGCTTATTATAGTGTGTTCCTACACTGCCAATTTAACAGTTTCAGTGGACAGTACTTCTCTAAAAAAAAAGTGCTGTCAATCATCTTGTTTTTTTGTACATCTTATATGTGCATTCTTGTATGTGAGATTAAACTCTTACCAGCCTCAAAGTTTTACTACACACTTATATAACCTATGAAATGCTCCATTAGTTTGCTCTGAAGTCCCTGTAGTTAATGAATAATAAGCCTGAAATGTTAAGGCTTGACAAACCCATCGCTGCTGTCAGAACAAAACCTTGTATCCAAAATGCGAAATACAGGGGGTCCCGCACTTAACTTGTTGGACCCCCTGAATGTCTCAAAATCAAAATTCTTGGGTGTATGTGAAAATAAACTTTTTATGATGTTAGGCTGTCCGAGAAACAGAAGCTCAAATGCAAATTCAGGTAAGGGTCATTGTTTAGCTGCTTCACTGCTCACTAGAAATAGTGAGCCTCTGTCTTTGATATTCTTGACTAACCACTGATGCAGAAGTGGTCTGCCTTAGGGTTGCAAACTGGCTCACCCAGTTGGTCCTTCATAGCTTTGCAACTGTAACTATGCCCGGAATACCTCTGAAAAACTTTACAACATGCCATAGCATATTTGCAAATCTAAAAAAATTGCCCAATTGCCCAGGAGATTGGTAGAAAGAGTGAATTGTGACTCATTTGTAAAAAAAGAGGAGGTGTGTAAGATCTCAATTAATGTGTGGAAGACTGCATTACCAAACTAGAAAAGAGCATTTCCAAAAGAGCATTTTGTTGCCACTGCAGCTAACATCAGTGCCGCTATGGTGAGTGAGTTAGTAGCCAGCCAACGTGGGACCCCCTGAATACCTGGGGGAATTTCAATTAAGGTAAAGTCTTACCATAATTTACATTGAAAGTTAGAAATGTATTTTCCTTGTCCGGTAAAGTTACTTTTTTGAAGATATCCAATATACTAAAATATGTTAATAAGAGGATGATGTAGTGACAGCACACCTATGGCTACAGGAGAACACGCAGGCACTAACATAGCTAACTTATTTCCATGATGTTTGGACAGTGCAGTTAGCGGTTAGCTAAGACAGATAAATGATCATCATATTTACAATTAAGACTGCGTCAAATTTGGATTTCTGTTTACTATGGTGTGTATTTAATATGGTGTAGCATGCTGACTAAGCTATGGTGTCTCTACTGTCAAGTGCTAGCAGTAGCTTATCCTGCAAGCTAACAGTTCCACACACTGTTTGAACTTGAACACCCCTGTATTAACTGCAGGGTGCTACCTCATTAGCTACCTCAGCCTTCTCATATCAAATAGCAGCGTTCATCTAGATCTCTTCTTTTATTTTTGATAGACTTATAGACTTTGAACAATAATCTCTGGCCTTAATCATAGATCTTTCTGCTGTTTGATCTGAGTGCCTCTGTCAAGCTTGTAACCTTGCACTATTTAAATCATAATTCTACTTGGCTCTCATTTCTCTCAGTGTTCTTTGTCATGTTCTTCAGGAGATTTTCCATTAATAAACTAGACCTGGATTATAAGAAAGCTGCAATGTCTGTGGTAAGAAAGCATGAATAAAACGGAATTGGATTGAACTGAATCATGAGCCTGTCATAATCAATGTGTAAATGTGGAACAGGCTGTTCATTTCAATTACTTATGTGCATCCAGGGTGTTTTTCATCCCCTGAGACATATGTCCCTACCTACAGTGATTTATCAGTTAAGCAGTCTGAGAAATGAAAGTGACCACAAGGTACGATTTGCGAAAACAACTCACAAGCTTATTGTAATTGTATCAGCGCATAAGAGGCTTACTGTCATTTCAATATTGTCTTTTTTAAAGGGGTTAAAACATATTTCTTAATTAAATGGAAATCTATTAGAAAGGCCACAAAGCGGTGAGTGGGCAGTGCAGGAGGGAACAGAATGCATTTACAGTAATATCCACAATGCGGTGACACAATTAATCTGGTGTAGCATGCTGTGTACGTGATAATACCTATGCTGGATCAGCGGCCCGGATTCCAAAGCAGATGCCGCATTAAGTGACACTTAATAGAGGGTGGCCTACATTTGTTCATTAAAGCAGTAAGCCGTGAGAGGCCATGCGGTACAGTGGTTTTACTGCAGTTTTTTAAAGGCAAGTTTATTGTTTTTATTTAATGCTGACAAAATACAACATAATTAAATACATCAGTGTTCAAAAGGACCTTTATATTTGAACCAGAACTATGCATGTTGTCCTTTTTTTCAGTTAACCAAATTTTATGTTATACTTTATTAATCCTACAAGGGATATTGCCTAACTATGCCCAGTCTGGGAGCAGCACAGCGTCGGCAGCAAAGTAGTGCCACCTGCAGCAGTGGGGGGTTAGAAGCCTTGCCCAACGGTTACATTCAAGAACACTCAGTCAGTCTGGGATTTGAACCCACAACCTTCAGGTTGCTGGCTCACCTCTGCCAACACTGGGCTATCAACCACCCCAAATACCCAACAACCATTAGTATTAAAACCTTACCTTAATGTTTGCCATTTTAACCTTCTATAGATGGTTAACCATGCACTTTTGGAGATGACGTAAACAGAGCGGAAAAGGGAGCAAAGTGCTCTGTGACTCACTGCCATGAGCTCAGTTGACTAACAGAGGAAGCAAACCAAAAAAAGCTCCACAGTATTCATACCATAGTGTTATTAACATGATGTTTACCAGTGATAGGTCTAATTTTGTGCATAATTAAATGGTTAAAATGTAAACATTGTCATTCAGAGTGCTTTGATGTTAAATGCTCTGGTCTCGAAAAACTTCAAGTCAGAATTGTTCACAGTGGTGGTGATAAAAAGTAAATGTCTGAAGAGTTTAATACCTCTAAAAGCTCCCTCACAGAAAGTTATTACATGATATTGTCATAAATATGCTGTCTGACGTCAGAGAATATTGTTTTATGATAGTTCTGAGATAACGTTTTGGCATATTTTTTAAAATCCATTCATGTCAGAGAGGTACATGCAAGTCACTGTAAGGCAAAATAGCCCCCAAAGAAAGCTTATATTTTTGCCATCATCAACATTACATATAAAACTGAAAAGACACGTGTAGGTTTACTGGTGGTTTTGGGTAGTAAATAAAATGGCTATATTTGTGTTGTAGACATTACAACCCCTGGTTCCTATCACCACCACTGTAAAGAAGTTCTGTGACTCTCTAGAATGGAGCATTTCACATCAAACCACTCTGAATGACTTTCTTTACATCTCAGTGACTGAGTTATGCAGATATTTTGACAAATCACAATTTTGACTAACCTTTTTTTCACTCCAGTTGGTTTTAAGCAACAACTTTTAATTCTACTGTGTCATTGTTTACTATATGGAAGCCCATTCCTGCCACCTATACAAATCCAGCACCTATTTTTTTCATTCTTAAGTGAATTACTATGTAATTATTTTGAGATACTAAGTCATTATTCTGAGATACTCTCTCATTATTATGAGATACTAAGTCATTTTTTGAGATACTACCTCATTATTTTGAGATAGTAAGTCATTGTTTTTAGATGCTATCTCATTAATTTGAAATGCTATGCCATTATTTTGAGATGCTATTTTGTTAATTTGAGAAGCTGTCATTATTTTGAGATGCTAAGTCACTATTTTGAGATGCTAACTCATTAATGTGAAATGCTATGTCATTATTTTGAGATGCTAAGTCATTACTTTGAGATGCTATCTCGTTAATTTGAGATGCTTAGTCATTATTTTGAGATACTATGTCGTTAATTCGAGATGCTATCTCATTATTTTCAGATACTAAGTCATTATTTTTAGATGCTATCTTGTTAATTTGAGATTCTAAGTCATTATTTTGAGATACTATGTCGTTAATTCGAGATGCTATGTCATTATTTTGAGAAGCTTCACTTAATAACCAAAAAAAAAGATAATTAAGTGCTGGATTCTAGGCTTCCAGAGCACACAATATTACTAAAACATAATAAGTTACAAATGGCTTGTACCCCTTAGCGAGACACCCTCTCCTGTTCAGTGATGTCCATCCAGCTCAGTACAAGCCTTAAAGGGTTAAACTGTAGGAGGATCTCTTTGCCGGATTGGGTGGAGTGAACTTGGACAAGCTAGTGGACTTTTTTGCTTTTTGTAATTACCCAGATATCCAGCGGCTCGACAAAGGCGCGTTACAGCATCTCAAAGGAAAATCCTTCTTATGTACTTACTGACAGACTGCGCTCAGTTTAGCGACCTTTACCCATGCAGCCGTCTGTAAGACATGGGGGATGTGAGTGAGACGTCTTTGCTGGACTACATCTGTTCCTCTGGAGGAAAAGTCAAAAACTCAGACTTATTGAAAACGTATAAGCAGTTTATAAGCCATAGCGATTTGCAACTGCGTGGTGAGTAGCACACAGCCGAATATCCGCTGTTTCATCTTCATCGATTAGCACAGCGATGCTCACAGCGTCTCTCTTCTGCTAGCTCACCGCTCCGTCATTAAATCTTTAAACCTTTCTCCAAAGTGTCTCCATACCTCTGCCTTCAGTGTTCACTCATATTTTAACCTGCTGTTCATTCTCCTCGCTACTGTCCGCTTTTGTGTGTCCTCTTACTAAAGCTTCGAGGCTCTGAGGAAAAGCCTCAGAACTGAATGGAGGCTAGCAAACATCTGCTTTACATTAAAGTCTGAGTAAACAGATGCAGTTACATGAGGAGGAATAGAGTGTAATTTCCGTTGGGCTTCGTGTCGGACCCACTCTGGGCTCTTCATACACGACTGCTAAAGCACAAAACGTTCATTGGCATCAGACTGAAAGTGTTGACTGAGCTGTGAACACGATTCAGATGATTCAGTCACAACACGTCTCAGCAGCTTGTCCTCCTCAGTGAATTTTCCCATGACCTGCACTCAGAGGTGGACAGTAAGTTACCTTTAGCTCGAAGTCCCATTTTGACTTGTTTGACTTCTCAATTGATGACACTTTTACTTATATTTCAGGTACATTGTGAGGAAATGACTCTTATTTCTCCTCAGTTCCATTTTAACTGTTAACATTCATTCACTACATTTGTTAGATTTCTTTCTGTACTAATGTTCTATTACAGTTCTCTAAAGAACCAAGGAACTCAGTACTTGAGGAGCTGGGACATGTTTTATTTGTAACTCGAGGGTTTTTTAGCAACAACTTTTACTTCTACTTAATTATTTCACTGAACAAACCAACACAATATTAAAGGGGAATTCCACCCCTTTTTAAATTTTACATAATTCTGTCGTTGCAATGTAGACAAAGTCATTCAGAGTGGTTTGGTGTGAAACGGTTCATTTGTAGAGAAACTTGCAGACTCTGACGTCTTTACAGTGGTGGTGATAGGAACCAGGGGTTGCCCTGTCTACAACACAAATATAGCCATTTTATTTACTATCCAAAACAATTAGTGTACCTATGTGCGTCTTCTTCGTTATATGTAATGTTGATGACGGTAAAATAGTGAAAATGTGAAAAAAATAAGTTTTCTTTGGGGACTGTTTTGCCTGTAACACCCTGTATGTACTCCTCTGCCATGAATGGATTAGAATAAATGGATTAACAAGACATTTTAGGCCAAAACTTTAGCAAAAATCTATCATAAAACAATGTCTCAGGTGACATGCAGCATATTCAGAATCATTTTGTGTGCTTTCTGCTTTTAGAGGCATTGAACTCGCCAGATGTCTGGTTCCTATCACCACCACTGTGAACAATTTTGGCTCAGCAAGTTTCTCTAGAATGAAGCATTTCACACCAAATGACTCTGAATGACTTTGTTTACATTTTAACCATTTAATCATGTAGGAATATTGACAATTTTTCAATGTTCTCCTTTTTTTTTTTTTCAAAATTCTCCTTTAAGAATGACATAGATAATTTTGACCCCTCACTATTGGTGACAGGACAGCTATACTTTTGCTTTTGCCGTCACACGCTTCAGTTCTCATGCTAGTAGATTGTGGATGTACTAAGAAGTTTTTTGGTGTTTTTGGGAGCTATTTTTTACTTGTACTTGCGTATTTTTACTTAAAAATTTTGCTTCAAGCTACACTTCAGTCTAAGCCAGAGTTGTCTGCCTTCGCTACGTCCGGCAATGTTTGATGAGTGTTAGAGCAGAGGAATCACACTGTGATGAACTCCAGCCCTCCAGCGCCATTCTTGACCTGTGGTCATTTGGCTCAATGATTTGTCTGCCCAGGTTAAATATTACATTACATGTATTACTGGTTAGATTCAAACTAGCAGTTTTAAATGCAATAATTTGGCCAAAAGTGGCCATACGGTCTACCGTGAAGTAGGCCAAATCATTAAATATGTGAATTTAAACCACCTAACATGTAATTCAATTAATGCATGATGAAGCATGTCTTTAATATATGTTACCGGGCCAAAATGTACGATTATCTGTAATGACTTTGCTCACTCCAGATGCCCATGTACAGTTGTGTGCAGAGGTTCTGAAAGCTGCTTACATCTGGCACCATCTGACACTGCTGTCCAATTATCGTAATTATTTCCAAACATTCCCAAATCTACCAGAATAGCATGTGCTCTGTGCCTCGATCATGTGGCAGCGGCTCTAGATTCTAGAATGACAGCAGAGTCTAGATTTAGACTAGCTGTTTGTTTTATGAACTGGTTGCTAGAAGACTTTGGGCAGTTGCTATTTTCACTGTGGGAATGTGCTGACATTAAAGTCTCAGGTCTCTATGAGCACATTGAGTACAGGCTAATGAATAACCCTCAAAAACATGAGCTGTGTGTTCCTTTTGCCACCAGCTCAGGAATTCTGCTTCCCCGGCTGGTTAAATGGTCACTTCCTGTTGGGTTTCCTGTTGTTGTGGCTGCTATGTGCATAACTGTCTACCTCACAGTATCTCTTTCCCCTGGCAGGAACCGGAAAGGTTTTAATTGTCCTGAGCATGTGCTGTATTTAAACACTGGCCACTAAAGTCTAAAGCACTTACAACCCAGAAGTGCCTTGCCGCCACTGGTACGACCTGATACTGACTCCTCGGCAGCTGTGGTTCTTTTTTTTCTGTTTGTTTTGCAAGTCATAGGCAGGCTTTAGAGATTGTCGTCTGGACAACATATCTGAGAAAACACTGGTTGTGGGGACTGGAAATTGTAGAGTTAATGGCAGGTTTTCTAAGTAGGAAACCTTATTAAGCTTAAGAAATGAGAGGAAGAGCAGCTTTTAGATTTCATACTGTACATAGTGATTGGTGTTATGACTTAATTTTCCAAATATATCATAGTATCACAGTATTAGATGATATTTAAGGTTGCTAAAAGAATGTTTTATAAACCGGACATAACATTTTAATTGGCCTGTTCTGTCCTGCGCCTTATCCAGTGAGCAGTATTAGAAGCAATACTAGACAGAATCCATTTTCCAGAAAGAAAACTTACTTTAGGAATTTCAAACTGTTGTTTCACAACAACTTGAAGCACTCAGCTAATTACATACTTTGTAGTTAAGTTTTTGTTTTGTAACATACACAGACGATATATCACCCAACACTACATGTGAACTGGCTTTGTTGATAGGAATTAGGGACCGTTTAGTATAAATTCTTTGCCATAGGGAAAGCCTGTTGAAGCAGAAGAGCAAAAACATTCAAAAAGGACAGTCTTCACCCCAACATATCGTTTCCTAATCGTTATCATTATAGTGGCACTTACAGTACTGGTATTGCAGAAGGCTACTATATTCAAATGAGCCCTCTAACTAATCACACTGTTCTTATTGTGTACTGTAAGCATCTTGCCCAGAGTATTTTTTAGGTGTTTTCATAAATAAAGATTTACTTAATCCAACAGAAAAGTATCTACTTCACAATAATGCAGGCCGGTCTTTAACCACATTGCATTATTGGAATCTGAAGAAATGTAATCGCGGTACTTGTATTTTATCCGTGTGGTGCAGACCTGATATGAAATCACATTTTTTCAAGCCCTTATATTTTGTAATGCGTTTTTGGAGCCGCTCCTCATTTGGGGGTAATGAAGTATAGAGCTGCAAGCCCCCACTGATCAGGAATTCTAAACAGTCCCTGCACATTCTTCTGACCGAGCCTGAGGTTAAGACCTGTTTGCTTATCTTATTGTCTTAAACAGCTTAGAGACACAAACAATCCACGAAGAAGCAAGAGAGAGGTCAAAGTACTGTTTCTGTGATTCGTTTAGACGAGATTAACTCTCCAGTGTAAATCTCTGACTGAAACAAGTTGATTTAATTATGACTCATTTGTAATCAATGCATTCAGTGCATCATGAAATTTCAAATCAGGATTATTTTTAAAAATATGCTGAATGCTATTTACACAGCAGTGGAAAACAGACAGTATTAACGATACACCAAGCTTTTAAAATCTTCTTTTGTTGTTTGAAAATAGGCCTAAAAATGAGGGTGTTGTTTAATATTTCAAAATCCATTAAAACATTCAGAAATTCGTGCAATTCAGTGGCTGTATCAGATGCATTTTTATACCTTTAACTTAGTAGTTACCATAGTGACCTTAGTTAATCCCTATTTACTACTTGTTTGTATTTTGTTGACCTTTGTTTCGATTTCCATTTGGGTTTTCAATACAGATGCACGATGAAAATGAAATTTTATTGGTATTGGCAGAATTGTTATAGTGTTATTAAATATTTATCATGTTTGTCACATTTATTGCACACTAGAAGAGCAGAATGTTTAAGCGATGCTGGGCTAGTTTGATAAATTGCCTTGTTGTCATTTTATTGCAGCTGTAACCCTCCACACGTTTTTGTAGGTTTTTGCATAATTTAAAAAACTGCTCTTACCTTTTGGATTGTGTTAAAATTTCAAGATGAACGAACCAATAGAAATTGTCCAACATTACTCTGAAAAAAATCTTGTTACATTAACTTCTGTTGTAACTGAAGATTTGTTTTTCCTTCACCTGTAAGTTACACTTTTGGAGATGCCACTTTTTGACAGCGACAAAATGTTGTCTTCATAATTCTAATCCAGGTGGATTTAGTCCCAATTTCTACATTTTTATACAATGTTTGTGTATTGAAATTGACATCAGCGTTGGCAGAGTGAAAAATATTGGATATCTGCTTTGGCCCACAATTCCCATCTCAATGCATTCCTAATTTCCAACAAATGTGCGTTTGTGGCTAGCGCTCTGATTGATATTGATATTTCAAAAATTCCACATTTGTGCAGCTCTCGTCAAATTTGTAAAAACTTGACAAATGTGTTTGTGGATTTGTTTTGCTTGTTACCAAGCAAAGTGACACATATGCAATGTCCAAGCAGGAAAGGGTGTTCCTGCACACTTTCACCTACAGCACGTTTAACTTCATCCAACAGCATTGGCAGGCACACAAAATGGGAAAGCTTGAATAAGGGCACTTTTAGGAGAGAGTAGGTACAAATTGAAGTGAGCAGATGCATCTTAACCCTTAGAAGTTGCAGAACAACATAAAACATGTTGTAATTTGCTGTTTCCCACTTGTAGCTCATCAGAACAAGCAATGAAATTCTGTGCAAAGTGCAGATTCAAAGTGTTTGTAAGGAAATATGATTTGGATTTGTTAAGTTATTGTACAGTCTTGTTTTTGCAGAAAGAAAATAAACCCTTACACACCCACACCCATACTTAACAAAGAGAAAAAAGTCTTGATACAGAACGTAAATGGAACATATTTGTAGTAGTGGGCTGTATGTCCAAAACTGTATATCCCAGCATATTTGAAATTTCTGATGGTACTTACAATGAAACCCTTTTAGATGCATAAGTAAACCTATTTTTATTGATTGACAGTGGCTAATTATTCTAGCATGTCCCTTCACTTTTTAATAAGACAACCAAAATAAATAAGAAATATTTTTATTGTGCAAAATATGCAAAAAAAACACTATACAGTATTTAGATAAGTCAATATTGCTTTCTGTCAAAAATGGAGATGAATACTGAGTCACGTCTGAATTCCTACAAAGCGGAAGCTGGCTTTTTATTTGGCAGCTTTTTGTTTGAATTTTCCATTCCACCTTAAATGGAGCAGCAGTTACATTCCAGCTCCTGTACAGATGTCTAAATGTAACTGCTGCACCATTTAAGATGGAAGGAGAAATTAGAATAAGAAGACAGCCTTAGCTTTGTCGAATTCCTTCAGCTTTATCAAAAATCATTTGTGTCACCCGTGTGTTCCGTAGTGCCTCCCGCTGTCAGATGCTGCTGGAATTTGGAAAATATTACAGTCATTGACGATATCTGAACCAGCTGGTCTACAGCTTGTTGCGCAGACAAGGCCGGGAGACCGCAATACCTCTTGATGCATCTGACCGAGTCAGGCAGCTCCTCAGCAAGGTCTGGTTTCCATGTCAGGCTAAAGCTCAATGTAACCCCAAAGGACTGGCAATTCCTTGATATCGGCTGCCTCAAAAACAAAGTGGACTACTTCAGATGTAACGGGCTAGACGGCGGGGGGTGATCGAGTGTCTACTGCGTTTCATTTTCATTTGAAATGTGACTGAAACATACCTGGCTTAGCCACCCAGCTAAACGGGATAGCGTTAGCATGGTTTGCACTTTTTGTATGTTGTGTTATCTGGGCTTATTTGTGGCATTCCTGTGTAATGGTTCCAGTATGCTGGATGAACCGGTACACTATTACCGCCCACTGTCAGGTAAATGTAACTGAGTAATTTATTGTGTAATTACATATGTAATCACATAATTACACTTCAATATAGTACAGCAAATAATAACTCTTGACTTCCAAGGCTCATTCATGGCCATTTAACATCTTTCTTTTCAAAGTATCGCGCGCATGCAGTACTGGCAGTACACTCAAGAATCTATTTTTCGTGTTTGGTTTTTGGTTTTGTGTTCTTTCTCAGTGACCCTAGAGAATGACATTTTAAGATTACAGAAAAATGTGCTTCTTACTCTGCCAACTTTGTGTCTATTTCCAGCAAAATACAGGGAGGAGTTCAAGCTCATCATCGACAGGATAGCTGTGTGTAAATCTGAGAATGTGAGTGAGACATTTCTTATCCACACTTCATAATTTTGCCATATAAAGCCCATCAGTGCCCTCAGTGCCATTATCAGAGTGTTATTCTTGGATTATTACTGAGGTATGATAAGATTATATTGTTTCCCCCTTGCTAGTCATTGTGAACCAAATCTGTTTCACCTGATGAGCTCATTATAGTACCTGTGACTGGGGCTTGCTTTATGCTGGTTAACTGTTTATGAAACTGTCATCACTGTCTTGCATAATGAATAAATAATTCCTAACATAAGCAATTTGTCAGGCTCCATGTATATTTGTGCAAACGTCCATGAACATGTCAAAGCTTACTGTAATTCTTTCATACCTTTATTAGTCAAAAGCTGTGCTCCTCTTAAATGTTGGTCAATAGCAGTTCATCTGAACCACTTAAACCCTATGGGGTCCATTTCTTGCTTTCTTGCGTCCAACTTGCTCTCATAACTACATAACTTCTAGTTTTGTGGCAGTTATTAGTTTGATGATATGTTATTCTGATAAATCACTTCATGATACAATTTTCTGAGGAAATTGTGGGTATTGCTAGTACTTCTAGGACACTCAATAACATGTAAACCAATTATAGAGAGACTGTAAACAGTACAAACAAATGTATAGCAAATGCAACACACAATGCTGTGTAAAGGTCAAAGACCAGAGGCCATTAAGTACCTACTTTAGTAAGTTAGTCATTCATTTTTCAGGAGATATTTCTGAAGAGATCAAAGGAAAAATATGTGGAAAAAACAGGAGTTTCCAAAACTGGAGGAAATTAGTAATAGACACAGAGAAAATGGAACTCCTAACAACTATGCAAGACCTGGTAGTCCGGCACAACTGTCTCTGTCCAGATAAACAGCACTTTTATCTTTGAAAGAGAGGAGAAAATCAAGCTCCATTGTTGCTTTAGATCCATCCTCCCATTATCTGAAGAAGAACTATGGGTCTGAAAGGATGTGCAGCTGTCAAGAAGCCATTACTGAGAAAAGGAAACAATAGACCTTCTATGAAATTTTCTCTTAAATGTACTTTCTACTTATTTACCTGATGTTGAAAAATGAGTAACCTGTGCTTGATACTTGGTGGCTGTTTTCAAAAGGATATTAAATAAATGAAGGGTGATCTCTGACTTTTGCACAGTATTGTAGCTGATTGAACATCAGCCCATTATGCCATTATCCTTTTTGGTTCATTTGCTTTTATCAATTGTTGTATTTTTCCTTTAATTCATTCTTAAATAGTTTATTTTGCTAATGTACTTTACTTTTGAACTGTTGTCAAGGAAATCAGATTTCATTTTTGATGCGCTAAATTTGATCAGTTGTGGGCCATTTCATTTCAAAACCGGAAAAGCAGTATTGTCTGCAAACTAGTTTGACTGTATCGATGAACCGCATTTAAGTACAAACCCAATTCCAAAAAGGTTGGGACAGTTTGTGAAAAGCAAATAAAAAGACAACAGTTGTATTTTATCAACTTGTTTTATGTAAATATGGGCTGCAACTGTTGGCAGTAGAAACTGTCTGTCACTGCATTCACAAGTGCAAGTTAAGACTTTGCACAGTGAAAATTATATATCAACAACATCCAGAAACACTTCTCTGGGCTTGAGCTCATCTGAAATGGACTGATACACAGTGGAAAGGTGTGTTGTGGTCTGATGTGTCAACCTTTCAGATTGTTTATGGAAATAATGGATGTTGTGCTTTCTGGGAAAGAGTTTTAAGGAACCATCCAGACTGTTATCAGCATTAAGTTCAAAATCCAGGGTCTGACATGATACGGGGCTGTATTAGTGGGTGACTTGCACATCTGTGGAGACACCATTAAGACTGAAAGATATCTACATATTATGAAACAACAAATGCTGCCTTTTAGACAACGTCTTTTTCAGGGACGTCCATGCTTATTTCGACATGACAGAGGCAAAAAAACATGGCTGTGCCATCAGAGAGTGCCGACACTAGACTGGCCTTCCTGCGGTCCAGACTTGCTTCCTATTTAAAATGTGTGGCACGTTATGAAAAATATGTGCAAAAACAAAGAAGGCCCCGTACGGTTGCGCAGCTGAAGAGTTGTATGACTGAAGAATGGCAAGAAAATACTTTCAAAACTGAAAAAGACTGTGTCTTAGGTCCCCAAATATTAAGTGTTGCAGGCATCATTTTTGGAGTAACCATATATTTACAAAATCAATGAAGTTTATAAGGCAAAACATTTGTGTTTTCGCACTGCTTTCCTAACGGGTCAAAAATAATATATTAATCACTGCCTTCTGTTTTTATTAGCATTTCACATACTGTCGCAGCTTTTTAGGAATTGCGTTTGTAACATGTGACTGTATTTAGTCCCAGTTTATATATTTTTACTGACTTTTTCTCCTGTGTGTACCTCGCAGGGGGAGAAGTATCTTATCCTGAAGAAGAAGTACAAACATTTGATGCAGGAGCGTGAATGCGCAGCTGGAGCTCAAGTAAACACAGGAGGGAAGTCTAACAGCAGCTCACACTCAGAGCACCAGAGCTCAGCTTTAGAGCAGCAGCCAAGCCCAAGTCTGATGGAGGTGGGGGAAAGGAGGAAGGCAGCGCAGGTCTCATGGTGTGGGCCCACCATTACAGTCACTGAAGCCCAAGAACAAGAGCATACAGAAGATGTAAGTAAGCAACTTCCACTCCCACCTTTCCAGTGTTATGAGCCTAACCCTAAATATAAAAAAATAAAATGTGGCACAAATGTAAAAGAATATTTTTCCATAAAACAAGACTGTACACACAAAAACAACGTTGCATAAAATTCTAATTAGACATGAAGTCTTTAATTCTGCTTACAAAGACAAATGTGGCATTAAAGGTTTAGAATCCACATTTTCAACAAATCATCCTCTTGTTTCAGTAATCTACGAGTGAAAAGTAATTCATACAAACTTTTCTCCTGTTTTTGTTGTTGCCAGCGATAGCTGTCACCTCTAAGGGTCAGACAGTTAAATGACCTCTCTGCTTTAGGCCACCACCTGGTGAAGCTAACCATGTAGCTCAGTGGCATGGCTTAACATTTCTATCTATGTCTACAAAAAAGATCTGTGTTAATAGTATAAGAAACTGTAAGACTTCTTTAGTGCTGTATAATACTTCTATAATGATGTACATTTCCACCTCCAGTAGTATTCCTGTAGTCCTGTCTTAATGTGATTACAATACATATGGAGTATCTTGTAGAAAACTGTAGAATAGTAATATTAATTGTATAAATTTATTACCAGATTTACTGTTTAACCTTTTTGAACCAAGCGTCTCTCCAGTGATCAGGCCTTGATGATATGGTGAGAGCCCCCTTAACTCTTTTAAATCTTCTGTTAGAAGAGTTACCACAAATTGTTTGTTTTTAAGTGATATGTGATAAGTCATGCTTAATATAACATGAACGATCAAGGAAGAAAAAAAATTTTGATTTCAGGTTGGCTTTAAGATTCTTATGGGAATTCTGAAGAAATCCCTGTAGTATATGTGGAGTATATGAAGAGTTTCATTCCAAAATGTAAATGTGTAAATGTGTTGGAGACAAATGAATTCAAAATGGGCTCTTTTTAGTTTCCACATGTGGACTGTAAATTTTAACAATGTTTACATAATACATTATGCTCCTTTATTTTAAAAAGACAAGGTAAATTAGTTTTTGCATGATATGGCATGAGATGACTTGTGATTACATTCCCATGTGACTTCACAAAAGCTCAGAGCACATTGATATGTGCTTCATTCTCTAGTTGCTCATATTCCTTTTCTGGAGTATGCTCTCAAGTATATTCATGAGGAATTGACTGTATTGCCTCACAACTATGCGGTTGTAGCCAGTAACCGAAGTGGAACGACTCCTATGACTCTTGCAATAGTGCACACTCTTGAAAAGTTCCAGAAGCTGAGCGTATCCTGTTTGGTCTGAGTGACGTCAGCTGGAGCGGAGGAGCAGCCAGTGATAAGAGAGCCTCTGTCTCCCAGATAGGCCTTTTGCAGTTATTTTATCTTTTTTTGGTGGAGTGGAAAAAATGTTACAGTGGTTATTTATCTTTATAAATAGCCCAAGTCAGTGTTGTTTGCCCCTAGTACTGGAGGGCACAATTTAGTGTTGTTCTCTTCTCCAACACATCTGATTCAACTCTACAGCTAATTTTTAATGCTTCTCTACAGCTCTCTTCTCTACAGCTCTCTACACTCTACAGCTAAATATCAGGTGCTGGAGCAGAGAGCAGCATTAAACTGCACAGTGCTGCACTGTCCAGAAGAAAAGAACACTAACAAAGTGTTAACTCTCCTAGTACCCCCAGACCATACAAGCCTTTAAAGGGGAATTCTACTGATTTTTCAAAATTTCTGGATAATTAAATGGTTAAGATGTAAACAGCGCCATTCAGAGCGATTTGGTCAAATGCTCTGTTCTAGAGTAACTTACTGAGTCAGAATTTTTGATAGTGGTGGTGACAGGAACCAGACGTCTGAAGAGTTTCTAAAAGCTCCCTCACAGACAGTTTTACACAAAATGGTTAGGGATACACTGCCTCGAGAAAGCCTAAAACTATTTTAATACATTAAAATTTTTGGCAAAGAGTTACGTGCAGGGCATTATGTAGCAAAATACTCCCCATTTTTTCAGCTTTTGCACTATTTTACCATCAGTGACATTACATATATAACCTCAGAAGACACGTTTGGGTTTACTGGTGGTTTTGGATAGTAAATAAAATGGCTATATTTGCATTCTAGATATCACAACCCCTGGTTCCTGTGAGCACCATTATAAAGAAGTCGGTAAGTTTCTCTACAGTGAACCTTTCACATCAGACCATTCTGAATAACTTAACATCTCAGTCACTGAATTATGCATAAAGTTTGAAAAATTGGTGAAAGAACAAAGTTTCATTTATCAGAAAACGTTGTTGGTACTAGAAAAAAATGTATAAAGTGAAATTCATTGTAAATAAAGAAAAATAGGATTATATGCTAAAACTGTTTGGAATGAAATCAATTTAGCATTATTTACATCATAAAATAAACCTACTCTCATACACAGGAGGGGAATTTGCCAAACATCTAAAAAAGTACAAAAAAGCTTCTGAATATCTGTTTCCTATCGCTGTAAATGCCACAAACTGGTTTTGCCCACTGAAAGCATCATTACGTTGTGGTCACTTCGAAGAATATAGAAGTCATTGAACTGTCTATTAAGTCACCGTTATCATCAGTAGTTTGATATCAATTATTTCTTCCTCATAGCTCATTGAAACCACAAATTCAGTTGAAAGTGAGGATTCTACACTTTTAATTGATGCCAGATTTGTCGTTCCTGCAAGTAGCGGAGGAGATATTTTATTAAGATTTCGGCAGTTACTACTGTGTGTACAGTCCTGCTTTACAGAAACAAAAAGCATCTTTTACCTTTTTGCCATGGTTTTGTAATTTCTTAACATCAGCGCAAACAAAAAAGTCTGAAGTGCAGACTCTGATCTGTATATACAGAATGTAAATATAACGTCAGTGTAATTCATTACTTAAATAAATTTTAGCTGCATGCTAAAGTTTGAGCTCCTCTGGTCAAATTAAGTTTTTTTTCTTTATCTAAGTGAAAATAAGTACAGATCCTCTACACGCTGTGAGAAAAAAGGTACTGTGCAGGTACATTTTTCATTCCTCAAGGTACAAACAACGTAAATGTGCCCTCAAAGGTATAATGAAGTTTTAGCCAACCGTGTAGCTTAAATATGTTTTTCCCAGGGAAAAGGTACGTATTTGTACCTTTTCATAACCCACTGTTTTGAAACAGAACAGTAAAATAAAAAGCCTGGAGATAACGCTGGGTGTGTGGAGTCAATACGACTTACCAAAATATAATTTCAGTGGAATTTGGTACAATTAAGTTCCCTTGACTAAAGGCACTGAAGATGTACCCTTGAGAGTACTACCCCAGTGACAGTTTAGGAGTGCAGAGAACACACTTCTGCACATTTTAATATGCAATTACAGTTTATTTGCAGAATTTAACATATTGGAGTAAAACGTGGCCTTTGCCAAAGTTACAGAGTTACACCTAAAAGACACATTTTATTATATATTATATTTCTCAATATGTTAGGTATGTTAAAATTTGCCGAAAAATATAGATTTTGCTCCCTGTAGAGGATTTTCATTTGGAAACATATAAGTAATCATCTAAATAATATCTCTAGACTTCTAAGAGTTACTGTACTGAATGCATGTTTGCTTTTTGTTTGGCAGCACAGATTAATGATTAATGTTTAAAGCAAACCTCCAGCTTTTGTTTCACTAGCATTCAAAAGTTTGAAAATAATGTCTTCAACAGTATTAAAGCAATTTGGCTGTAAGTAAGTAAGTAAATGTATAAAATGATTCTAATATGTTCTGCGCTACTTCACAGTTTTTGGATAATTAGTAGGTAAATGTGTCCATAATGAGGAATGGAGCTGTAGAAGATTCTAAAATTACTGAGAAAGCTATATAACATTGACAATTACGTTATAAGAAAATTACTTGTTATTCTTGAAATATTGAATAAAACCTCTAAAAATACCTTTTGGCGAATAGTAATATTTAAACACACCCTGTTTAAGTTGATATCATATATAAAATAAAAACAAATATTGCAAGTGATTTCAAACTTTTGAATGCCAGTGTATGTTTGAATTGTATGGATAGCTGGCTTTGACTAAGTTCTTTTCAATTTTTTATCTTAGCAAAAATAGTGACCGTCTTTAACCACAGAGTAGACAGTTATGCCGCATGCCTTAGTGTCAGTTTCCTTTCGCAACACTCTGTACAAGTGCTATTCTTACAGCCTGGGTGTGAGTGTGAGTTGCTGAGCATGATCTGATCTGTAACTTCAGCGAAAAGTATCATAGAGACACAAAGTTTGTCACTTTGAGCTCCAACCTGGTGTTGCTTGTTTCAGTTAAGTGAGAGAGAGGTTTGCAACACATGTAAATGTGAAAATATGCTACGTAAATAGTGATTGTTAGAGAACATTAGAGAATATTAGAGAACAAGCTACAGACACAAAGTGGATGAAGCACCTATCCAGCTGATTTGAGCAAAGTGAGTTTAACTTGAAGTGAGTTTGGTGAAAAGTAATTCACATAGTTTTCCCTCTGTTACTCCAAATATAGTTGATCAGTCAAGATATGAAAATGATTAAAAATGATATAAAAAGTTTGCTTCTTTAGTTTTGCACTGAAGCTAGGAAGTTAAAGTAGCTAACAAGCAATGGAGGTTAATATACCGCTAAGCTTGAATGATCATGTAAAATTAATGATTACTGTCTGCAGATTTATTGTGATAAACAATAGCATCATGACCCAAAGTCAGTTATGAAGTACCACATGTGGGTGTTAGAGAGTCTGCACCCTACAGCTTACATTTTCCTTGATGATAATATGATTACCTTGTAATTACAAGCTAAGCTAGCTTTTAATATTACTTAAAAATTATAATGATGACTATATTCCACACATACGGCAGGTAACACTGTTAACATCCAGTGGTTCCGTGTTCCTTTGGCTGAAAACCAAAATATTGCCGAACCGACGTGTTAGCACCCTTCTTCGATACAAATTCGTCCATTTTATTCTCATGGCATGTGAAAGACAACAAAATAATCTCATATAGACTTGCTTATGTGGTTTCTGATAGGCCTGAGGCATAGGGTGATGCAGTTGAATATCACAGATGATTGACCTGATGATAATGCTTGCAAGGCAATAATTGCCATGTTAGGAAACTGGCAGAGAATTAGAGAGGACTCATTTACAGTTAACAGCTTGGTAAATATGTTGGGAAATTTGGGTTCACAATTCTTTAAGAAGTGTGCGGGCGTGTGCCCAAAGAGTTAAGAGACAGAGAGGGAGAAGTTTAACCCCAGAAAAAGTTTTATTACACACTTTGACTGAATAATAAGCCTTAGTATGTAATAAGGCTGGAATTTTAAGTGGTTAAGAAGCTGCCCGATGGTTTTCTCTGCTATGCTCTGTAATGCTAGCTTTACCCACCCCACAGCTCTTACTTATTTTACTTGACTTTTCAAGTCTAGCTTGAGTGCATGGAACTATAAATAATTACCAACATGTTTTAGAACTTCAACTTGCTTCAGTGTGACTCGCTGCAGTAAAACAACCAAGCTAAGGTAACAAAGAAAAAAACTGCAGTATTTTCCAAACATCTTAAGTGTCCCGCTGGTTAAGATGAGTTGAATTATTAAAATTGTTTTTCTAAAGGTATGTGACTCCGCTATAACATAGGAAACACCTTGTTTTTTAATACGTAAAGCACATGGGCATGCCTTTTTTTATTACAGATTAAAACATTTCATGTAAAAAAGCATATAATAATACGAATAAAACATTGCAATTAGAGCTGGGCGATATGGCCAAAAACGTTATCACGATAAACAAAATTCATATCGTTCGATATCGATACATATCGAGATAAATGTCAAATCATGATTTCTTTCACGTTTGAAGGCTGATTTTGCTCCTGGGGGGTTAATTGTGGTTTTAAACTATCACGTATGGTCCGATCATGACAAACACTCGGCAAACAGTGGAACATTTCACTAATCTGTCATGGAAGAGTGGGAGAAAGTTTCTGAGCTGTTTTTATCAGCTTGAAATGCACAGCTGCAATTTTTGTAATAGTCATGATTTAAGAAAGAAAACAGATTATTTTCAGCTGTCTGGTGACGAGCGCTCGGCTACCCCGTTACAAATGCTAAACAAGTGGCCAACAACAGTGCTAAACTCTTTAGTTTCTCAACAACGTCAACTCGGTTCGGTAGGTCACTGCTGTCACTCCTACCACATCCATGTCAGAGCATATCACAGTATTCAGACACCAGCTAGCGACGACTGGGTTTCTCTATGCTATCGCAGTAGTTTAAGGGGTGAACCGCAGTATATCTGACGTTCGCTGTGTAAAAGCATTATCTGCAGTGTGAATCTCTCACACAAGCCAAACAGAGTCCTCCTTTTAGGCATGTTTAAACTGAAAGCGGTGATTTTGTGTCTTGTTTGATCTACCGTATCATCAATTCACCGTGTTGTGCCGAAGCGCTGCTTCAAGTTAGCCAGCAGCTAAAAACAGCTAGCCTGGAAAGATCAGCGCTCTCCCGCTCTCCAATGCCTCACAGCTTCCTCAGTTTACTTTCGAACATGAACCCACTTCTTTCACTTTCGTTGCTCGAGAATGCACTAATACTAAAATATGATGGTTTGGCGCTGTAACACGGCGCTGTAGACGTGATTTAACACCGCTGAAGTTGTTAGGATGCACGGAAAGAGGTGAGTTCACCGTAGGACAGTACAGTTACACCACTGACCTCGTCACTCACACTCGGTCACAGGAGAACAGATCGCCGGTCGCTCCGGTCAGACAGGGACTGTATAACTCCGCGTTTCAGCCGTTGCTAAAGTATATTTGGTGACCCTTTTTTTACTCGTGGCCCCCTCCCTCTCTAATCAACTCGAAAAATTCGGAAGTGCGCCCTCTCCTGGCGACAGCAGAGTAGTGTCGCTTTCCTTGCAGTAGAAAACGCCACCAGGGCTTTCGCTAAAACGTGGAAGTGTGAGAATGGTGTATTATATCGAACATTTATCGAACCTGTCTTATCGCTCTATCAAGGAAAAGTTATATCGCGATACTTATCGTTATCGTTTTATCGCCCAGCCCTAATTGCAATTTTTTTAAACTAGACAAAAAATTGTGCTAATTATTTTTAGATTGCGCCCAGACCTCATTGCACTATAGTAGTGGTCACCTTGTAGCTTTGTCCATGACATTGTTCATTTTTAGAAAGCCGTTAGTGTCATGTCCTTAGAAACTCTGGGTCTAAGCTGATTTCATTATGGGGAAAATGAATAAGGTTTTTGAAAATGCCTGCTAACATGTCCTGTGGTAAGCCTAAATGTTTAAACCTGTATGTACATTGAATGTTGCTGGGTCCTCTGAATAATGAGACCGTTAAGGAGTCGAAATACGACTATATCTACCCACAAGCTGACACTGCTGTGCACTGAACTGACATCAGAAGACTGGCAACCTTACCAAAATACCCCACACAAATCAGTAAGGTTTGTCAGACAGATGGTAGTTAAGTTGCCTGAACGGTAGTGGCCTACAGTTTGAGGAGCTGATGTTATTAAATAAATGTGTTTAATATCAGACATACTTATGTGCAGGTCGGTTGTAGCATGTATGTAGCGTTATTTCTTTTAAATGCTAAACAACCTCATAACTCAGAGGATCCCGTGGCATTCTGTGGAAAACGTATGTAGGACAAAACGTATTTGTTTCATTCATTTTCCCCATAGAAATAGAGTTCCTAATATGGTCATGACGCTGAGTACAGAAGGACCATGCAGCTTCAGAGATCTATAGTTCTTCAGGTTATTTTTTGCTGATGGATCCTCTCTCCCCTCTTAGGAGCAGGTAACGGACAGCTGCCCCTCACTTACGGCCCCTGCAGAGAACCCGGAATCCCCAACAGAGGAGCCTCCTGAGCCCGCAGATGGAGAAGATGAGATGGACAAGGATTCAGGTTCAAAGGTTGGATAAGCAGAAATCCTCTTCTGTTTTTTTACAGAGCTTTGGTGAGGTAGCGTTTGCTGCTCTGTTCTAAACAGATATATTCTGTCAGCTTTCCTACTTGAACAGCAAACTGAGTATCATCCCTAGCCAACTGGTTGAAGTCATCAATAATTCCAGCACTGAAGGTGTGTTACTGTTTATAACCACAAGATGGCGACACTTTAATTAGATGGATTTGAGGCAGACACGTTTGAGGCAGAGTGCTAGCAAGAAAAGGGCTTTTATTTCCATTTGAAAGGATCTCTCTGTTCTTGTGTAAAACAGCAGCATGCTCCATCTCATTAGAGAGAAAATAATCACCTGCGTCCTCAGACCATTTGAATGCTTATCAGTTTTGATGTAGATAGCCTGGCTTTTTTTGGGAAAAATATGCAGAGGAAAGCCAATTAGACTTTGGTCTTACATTGTCTAATGTAGGGTACTACTGTAGACTATAAAGGCTGGATGACATCACGGTAATGAAGTAATTCTATTTTTATTTCTGTTAGAAATAATTAAAATAATTAAAAATTTAATTACATGAAAGAAATGATGTATAGCACCAGTCAAAACTTTGGGCACACCAAGATGCATGTTTAAATACATAAAATGTATTTGCTTAAATGTGTCTCTCCATTTTTATATTGTTTAAGTTGAGCCCTTCGGATGTGTTTATTTCCAAAACAAAAACACAGTAAATTAAAAAAATTTAATTTAATTTAAATGTTTAAAAAACATTTATTACATTAGTGAAATGTGAAATATTGGGCCACAATCTTTATGTCATACTGATTACTAAGTATGTCTCAGTAAAAGGTAATTAGTTATATAATCAGTTGTCTTGTGAGGAAGACTGGGTGTAAATAGCTCCATTTGGTGTAAAGCAAATATTTTTGATTGGAGTGACAAATAATTTTAGTTTTTATGTCTTTTCTAATATTCTGAAATGTGGAAGTACAAATAAAAAAACACTTCAGTGAATAAGTGTGTCCAATTTTATATATACAGTGCTGTGCAAAAGTCAGAGACCACCCTTTCGTTTACTCAATTTCTAGGGAATATGGCCTTTTAATACTTGAAAAAAGTTATTCATTTTTTCAAGGACAGGAAAAAAAAAGGAAACATATTTAACTGAAAATGACTCAAAATCCTCCAACACTAAGCGTAATATCAGCTTTACATTTGTGGACCTTACTGCCACTTTGACTCTTCGAATCTTAAAACCTGAGTTACAGCTCTGTCCTCCCAGTTAAAGCTGTTCCCACAGGTCTCACTGACATTATGTTCCCCTTTTAAGAGGCACTAATATTCACACAAGCAACTACTGAATTTGAAGTTGAAAGAGGTTGTTACTAATAAAAGGGAACAGACTAAAAAGAAGACCGTTTGCACTAAAATACCAAAACTGGACATCCGAGATGTGGAATAAGATTGACTGGTGAGTCTAAATTTATAATTGGGATTACTTGGATCGTGAGAAGGAGAAATCAAGCTTCTGAGACTGACCTTTTGAGGTGTTTACAAGAAGCATGGAAAAATATCCCTGCAGATTACTTTGAAAAACTAAAAAAGAATAGAAGCTGTAATAAAGGCAAAGGCTGGACAGACTAACCACTGAAAAACATTATGTTTAGTTATTGAAGATTCTGTGTAATTTTCTGTAAGTGTTGTTCATGCTGTTCTAAGGCTGGCAGTCTTATTACTGAACTGTAACTGTAATATAACTAATAGATTAAAAGGCTATGAAAGAGAGGGATATATACTGTATATATAGTTTTTACAAGAGTTTAGTAGAAATGTTTGATTACTTACAAAAATATGAGGACACTAAATAGCAAAAAAGTAATTGATTGGTAATACTCAGCAAATTTCAGAGTGAAAATAATAGCATCAAAAGCCAAGAATATATAATGTTCAAAAATAAAAAAAAATCGTGACAGTATCTTGGGGGTATTTGGGTGGTCAGTGGTGGCTCTGTCTTGAGCATGATTCGTCAGAAATTAAACCTTACACTTGTTCCTGCTAAATAATACTGAAACGAATACTTAGTTTTGAAATTATTCTGAACAAGAGCACCTTTTGAAGAAACATCTTCACATGAAGGACACATGCACACTATTACAGTCATTACATTTCCTTCTTTTTATACTTGAATGCCCTTTCCTAGAACCGAAACTGAGCTGACTAATTTACTCATCAGTATACTGCACATGGAACACGGAGCACAGTTTTAAAGCCTTCACTTTAATTTTAAAGCTTTCTTCTGGAGAAATATCATGTTGTACTGGGTTTCCAGGGCAGCATTTGTGTTCTGTTTTTTGAGTACAAAAAAACTGGATCAGTGAGTTGGTGGAAGTGATCAAACCTTGACAGTTATAATTGATGCATTTACCGACCATATTTTTTTTCCATTTACTTTCTGATTCTCGTTTCCAGTGAAAAAGGTGCGTGGCCCTGTGCCTGTTTAAGAGTGGTTAAATGCAGCCCCGTTCACAATGTGAAGGGGGTCGTTTTGGACAGTTAGCATGGCCTACATGAAAGCGAGAGTATGTTTGCCCACTGTCTGTCTGGCCGCCGTTCACCCTGCCCTGAGAACAATTAGCAATCAAGTGCTTGGCTAAAATCAGCAAACCGCTCCATTTTCTTCTCTTGCTTATCCCACTGACTGACACTTTGGTGGGCCTACATACAGCAAAATTGCCTCTCATAGCGTTGGCCTCTTGTAAAACTGAGTTTGAGAAAACAACAAAACATACAACTGGAGCAATTTGGCTTTCAGCAGAGCAATTTGTTCATTGCTGATGGGGTTCTGACTGCATGGCTGGACTTTTCTACTGTGAAGAGGGCAGAAAGAGCACTCGTCTTTCCTCTGTATACTCTCTTTCCTGGCTGAGAGCAACTCCCAGGTGTAATTTGCTGTGTATTAAAGGAATAGTTTGGTGAATGTACACAATTTTCTCCTGAACCCAGCTGTAGTAGTTCAGGGGGGACTTTTTGCTTCTTTAGTTTGGCACTGGAGGCTAATGTAGCTTAAAAGTAATGGAAGTTTATTTACTTAGTCAACTCCAGAATTATTGGCACCACCTAAGAAACTGGACAAAAACAATCATATAAAATAAACAATACATGTAATGATTCAGTCAATGGTGGACCTTTAATTTGGGCCGTAAATGCCAAATCTCATTTTCATATTAAATGGTTCCCACCCATTAGGAATCAAAACTAATTAGTTGGTTCCTGTGTTACTTGTTAATTATGCTGGTGGTTAATCAAAGTTGGGTTTCTTTTCAGCTCATGAAATCATTACCCATTGGAGAGCTTGATTCCTGACTGGATTAAATTTTCCACTGGACCTTTCAAGAGTTTAACCTTTTGTTCATCGAAAACTTAACAGGGAAACAAGAGTAGTACTGTAATACTAGCAGAGTTTAAATACAAGCATGATTCTAGTGAATATAAATGGACAAAATATACAGACATGCATTTTATAGTTTTGTTAGAACTTCTCTGAAGGCAAAGAAGGCCCTAAGGGTTCTCCTCTGGATTTTCCTGGAAAATACATGGAGTCATTCTTGCAAGAGAGTCTTACATAGTGTATTTTTTCAGAAACATATAGGGCAGAATATTTTAAATAAAACCAAAGAAATTTGCTAAAATAAGACAGATAAGAAAATTGTGGACCTTCATAGATTAGCAAATGGTTTAAAAAAAAAGTAGTTGAAATTATCAGTAACCACAATTAGGGTGATAGTTAAAAGTTTGAAAAGCACGGAAAAGTTGAAAATTTGCCAGGAAAAGGATGCTCTGCCCTTAGATACAGTGAGGGACAAAGAGAAACTCAATGACCACAGTTTCAGAACTGCACAGTTTAGTTGAATCTTGGGGTTTTCAAATTTCAAAATCCACTGTCAGACGCCACCTCCATGACCAGAAGCTTAGTCTTTCCTAAGAGCCAGCCACAAAATGCAGCGTGTGAACTTTGCAAAATGTAATTGAGACTATAGATGGAATCGTTTGATGTTGTCAGATGAGACAAAAATATAACATTTTGGTAACGCACACCATCGTCATGCCTGCCAGCAGAGGCAGACAGATTTTGGGCTAAAATCTGCTGGTAATGAATGGAATTCATTATGCCATTGACTTTCATGAGAGTGTCTGGGCTAGTAGCAGCAAAACAGACCCAATAATATGATCCACCGTCACATTTGAAACAGGGTATCAGATGCTTTTCATAGATGCAGTTCTTTTTTTGCCAAACAAGTTCTGCAGTTCCCTTTTCAGTCTCTGGATTTGAACCCAAGTGAAAAACTTTGGTGTGTATTGTCCACAAGCGAAGCACCAGGAATATTCTCCAACCTTGTTTAGCATTGCAGAAAGCGGCTCAGTGCTGTTACTCTCACCAGGGGAGGCTTTACCAAATATTAATAATGGAGGTGCCAATACTTTTCAAACCTATAAAATAAAAATATGCAGCTTACTCATTCATTTAATCCCTTAAATGGCCAGGGCCCACAGGCACAAAATTTTATAGCACACTCCTATAACCTAAGAATAGCACCAGTTTACATTGAAGTCCCTGTAGTTACTGAATAATAAGACTTAGTATGTAATAAGATTTTAAGGAGTTAAGCCCAAATGTTATTTATTGCATGTGTGCTTTATATAATAATAATAATAATAATAATAATAATAATATTTAATTGACTCAATGTGGTTTTTGATACTGTATGACTTGTATGAGGGGGGCGCAGGGCACAGGATAAACAGTGACATGGATTTTTCTGTAGTTTAGATTAAACTAGTTAAATTAGTAGATCCACCCCTGAAGTAACTTTTTTCCTCATCACAGACTGTAGATGTAATGTAAATAAAATATATTCCAGTTTTATTGGGCTAATGTTTACTGTTCTAATATTCCAACAAAAGTCTTTTTTCACTAGTTATGTTTATTGTGTTTCATTTTCTGTTTTCACCTGTAGCAGAGATTTTAGTTTGCTTGCATAAAAAGGTATTAATCCTGCTCATATATTTTTTAAAATGAATTAGTAAAAATCAAAATACGTATATCAATATACGACTGGACAAATGTACAGATAAAGGCCGGTACTGCTGGTTTTAACTATGCGTTGTGATATCATTCAAACAATTACTGCTATTTAATAATAATTAGATAATTTATGAATTACTCCAGTCAACACAGTTTGAGAGAGATGTGTGATGAGTTAGGCATGCAGTTTACATGATCTTAAACTGGTGGGTTTAAGCTTCTGTTACTTGTGTTTCTGTTGTCTTGAATGACTGCCTTTATTTAACCACTCCCTTTGTACAGTCATTCTAATCTATCATAAGTTCAAAAACATTAACAGTTAAAAAAATTGAACTTAATTATAGGCTATACAAACAAGACATCAGCAAGGTAACCACCTACATACTGTGAACACCACTGAAAGATAGTATAGTTTTTATGTCTAGATAAAGAATGCTGAAAACATGCAAATGAAACAAAGAAACTCTGATTGTCCGGTAGAGAGTAAAATGGGCGAGTTTATACAGACGAAGGGTGTTAACACAGCTGTTTGACAATATTTTGGTTTCCAACCAAACAAATGTGGAGAACCACTGGATGTTAACAGTGTTAAGTGCTGTTGGTTATCAGTAAAGTTAGTCATCATTATAAATGATTAAATATTATTTGAAGCAAGCCCACTTGGCGATTGTATGGTAATTATATTACCATCAGTGAAAATGCGAGCTATAGGGTGAAGACTCTGTAACATTTATACGTGGTACTTCAACTGAATTTGGATCAGAATCATTCTGCAGACGATAATTGCTTGTCTAAATTTACATCATCGTCCAAGTTTAGCTTCCATTACTTGTTAGCTACATTAGTCTTGTAGCTCAAGTGCAAAACTAAAGAAACAAACTTCAGACAGCAAACATGTCTTGACTGATCAACTAGGTTAAGGGGGAAATCTTACATTTTGTTTTAGTTAAAAATCTTAAACCAGCGCCACCCATATTTGACCGGTGAGTGTTTGATTTGGCCAACCTATAAGTTACGCTAACCCTGTGCCCTCAACCACAAAGTATCATTATGCTATAAATGTTTTATTTATTTACTTTTTATTAATTTTATTTGTCAGGATAAATGCCCATTAGGAAACAGTTGTGCAGAACTGTAAATAATCCTTTTACACTTGACGTATCTTTTTTTGTTTCGACGTATCTTAGTAACAAAATTTGAAACCTGTCTACACTTGTGTGTAAAAGTTTGGCTGCCCCTGGTTAAATGACATGTTTGGTGTGGTCAGAGAACACACTTCTACACATTTCAGTGCACAATTGGTGTTTATTTGCTGAATTTAACATGTAAAAAATATATATAAAGTGTGTCCTGTGCAAAGGTTATGGCACATTTTACATTGCATCTTTTTTTTTCCAGTATGTTAGACTCAGCAAATGAACAAAACTGTAGAGGTTGTGTTAACTTGTTTTCATATAGAAAACCAATAAAACATGTTATTGCACTGAGGGTGTTTAAACTTTTGCATATGACTGTGTGTTCTTTTTTTGTATCTTGGTTTGCATTTTGACCCTTGGCTGTCAATAAACATTGCAATTTAGCCCCCCAGGACAAGAAGTTTGGGCACCCCTGGCTTTAACTGTACTATTAATTTGAAAAAGTAAGTTAATGAAATCACACCACAGTGCTACAAATGAGAGAATATCAAGTAAAAAACAAACAAAGATAAAAAGGAGGACTGTTTTTTGTCTGTTTACCGTAATAGTTCTTGTTTTGTTTCCTGTTTCTTGTCTGTGTATTGATGTCTGTGGTCTGTTTGCTGTGCTTACAACAAAGGTGTCTTTCATTTGATCTGCTTGATTAAGCACTGTGACAGTGGTGGAATTTCCTCCAGTCAAACAGCTACTCCAGAGAAAGAAGAGGCGGGCTCATACACATTTGTATTTTTTGAATTTGTATATTAGAGAGCTTTCAGTTTCACATTTAGACTTTATCAAAGTTCCAGAGATAATCACAGCTGTTACTGTGTAATGTTAATAGGAACTTACCCTCCCTCTCTCTCTCTCTCTCTCTCTCTCTCTCTCTCTCTTTCTCTCTCATTTTTCCAGTCAGAATCGGAGCAGGAAGAAGAATGTACTGGTAGTGTAGGCTCTACTTCTGTGGCTGTAAGTGGTGCTGTGAACATCATCTTCTTTGAGCCTGTAATACTGTGATTACATTGCTACATATTGCAATTGCAATTTGCCAAAATATTACAAAATATTAAAAACGCACTGATGAAGGGTTAAAGAGATGGACTGCATTATTTTGACCATTAATAATTTATGCTTAGTGGATCATGTGAATGTCTTGATGCACCCAAACACCTGGAACATCTGGACAGTCTATGATTGGTTAGAATACTCACAGCACATAATAACAAATAGTGATTTTTTTAGAGGCTTATTTTTATATTACAACATCCTGCAATGTCAGTATTGCAAAGTCCAGTATTGGTTATAGTGGTTATAGTACAGGGAGATTCACTCGAAAGAGGCCCCGAATATTCTGTTGTAAATCCCAGATTTACAGAATTACAGAATATTCAGGGCCTCTTTCGAGTGAATCTCCCTGTTGTAATAGTAATGGACATACAGTCGTATGCAAAGGTTTGAACACCCCTGGTCAAATTACGTTTTGTTGATTTTCTGAGTGAAAGTAAGTAACACATCTTCTACAGGGAACAAACTTAAATATGTTATTTTTCTGCAAATTTTAGTGCAGAATATCTACTTATTTGCAGAGTTAAACATACTGGAAATTACAGTAAATAAACAGCAATTGTTGATTACAATATGCAGAAGCGTGTTCTCTGAAGAGGATGTGTACTTATTTTCACTTAGAAAATCAACAACATGTACTTTGACCAGGGATGCCCAAAATTTGCATACAATTGATCTTACTGGCACTGGATGGTTAAAAAAACAGCCACTATATTTCTAGTGGGATGTTTAGAAATTCCAACAGCCCAGCTGTGCATACAGTATGAAATTATGGATATCAGTCATATTAATTGAAGTATGAAGAGTAAGGATAGTGTACAAATTTTAGAGGACAATTTTATCCTTTATCACTTCATACATGCTCCCTGAAAGAGTGTTAGAGCTAAATTTCTGCTCTGAAGCCACCTTTTTGGCAAGAGATTGCTTATTTAGTGTTTAGTGTTTTTTTAAATCCAAATTTCAAATTAGAATGACTAAATAACCATCAAAGATTTTTAGATTATTACTCTCTTAAAGGAAAAAAGGTTGATAATTCTGCTGACTGTATATATATATATATATATATATATATGTATATATATATATATATATATATATGTTATTACTTAATAAATTCAGCAGTTATTAGCAAATGATTCCAAACTTTTGAACGATAGTGTATTTTGAGTGGAAAGCTGAAATTTTGCTATTTTGCAATTTGCTGCTTCTGTGCACTGTAGTTCACTTTAGTGATTCCAAATGCATTATATATATATATATATATATATATATATATATACACCAATAGTCAACAAAAATCAACAAAACATGTAATTTGACCAGGGGTTTTTGAACCTTTGCTTATGACTATATATATGTACGTGTATGTATAATTTAATACAACTACAATACCTGATTATGCTCTTATGCTGTTCCCTGCTGTAGCTGGATCCTATAGAGAAGGAATGGATCTATTCTGCAGCCTGCGGCAGACTGACCCACCTCACCCAGCTGCTCAAGCAGGACGCCTCACTGGCCAACAAAAAAGTAACCTTGTCACCGAGTTTTGCACACAGTGAATTAGATCTCAGTATTCAGACCACACGTCAGAACACGTTTTAACTACTACAATATTAAATTACACTGTACTGACAGCACAATTAACTTATTTCTTTGAATTTGTTTTCATGTTCACACCAAACTAGGATTTTACCTCAGTAAGTATCAGCACTTCTAATATTGCAATTTAACATTATATCACTGCTGTTCTAAGAAAACCTTGTATCTCAGGAATGGTAACTTTATTTATAAGTAATTTCAGACAGTTTATATTTGTCTTAAAATGTAATGTAAAAGGCAGATGACATAAAAAAAGAGCTATAAGGTTTTCATATCACAGCACTGTTGAAGGTTTGCAGTTTATTTTATGCAATGCTGTATGCAAAAGTTCAGTCAACTTAAATGTTTTGTTGACTAAGTGAAAATAAGCACACATCCTCTACAGTGAGCACACTTCTGCACATTTTAATGCACATTTTTTTTATTTATTTGCTGTAAACATCATATTAGAATTTGGAAAACATAAAATGGAAAATAATAAAATAAACTGAGCAAATATATAGAAATTGTGGCATTAAAAATTGCAGAAAAATGGTATATTTAAAGCTGCACTATGTAAGTTTTAGAGACCTCTCTGGTGTAAATGTGTAATTGTGTGCAAAGTGCGGATGAACATTTTGTACTGTCAGTTGTGCTTCGGGCCCCTTCCCCAAGTGGCTGAATATGATGATTGTGAGCACATTGAAAGAATATTCAAAAAGAACTCAAAACTTGGTGAAGGACATGTCTTCCAACGACGTGAGTGAATTATTGACTATCACCATCGTATCTTCATCAGTATAATGTTGATTTTGCATTTGAGACCTAAACATCAAGCCAGACCTTCTTTTTGAGCCTGAGTTAATACGTAAAGACATATGATGTGGTCCAAAAACATCTGCAAAATCCAACCTGACGCTCTGACTTACTGAATTAGTTTTCAGGCTTTACGGCGAGACTCACAGAGACACCATATATTACCTTGTTTTTGTTTTCTCATGACTCAGTATTCTTTTGCTTTCAGTTTTAACAGAAAGTCTTTCGTAGTTCAGCTTTAAATTTGTTCCCGGTAGAAGAGGAACTTATTTTCACTTAGAAAAAAAAAAAAGTAATCTGACCAGGGTTATAGAAACTTTTGCATATGACTGTGCACTGTGTAAACTATACATGTGTATATAACTGTATTGGGTAACAATATGTTTTTTTTCCTTTTACTTACATTTTGCTCCGATCTGTGACCATGGCCTTTAACTTGAAGGGGGTGAGTGAGCATAACTTCACTTTTTCTCTTACTGGATGACAGATGAATTGATTCATATACTAATGAACTTGTTCGAGCACAGGGATCCATTACGATCAGAATAATATTGGAATTTAATACTGGGGAATATTTTTATTCTTTCATATGTCGCCTCTTAATAGCAGTATGGTTACTCATCCTCAGTGATGTCTTTTCTCACAAAGTTTCTGGCATTGCGCAGTTCTCTGTCCTGTCCCCCAGGTGCAGTGCAAAGGAAAGGAGGAATGATCTGTCCTGGACTTGCATTTCAAAGGCCTACTATCAAAAGGATTATGAAAGATAGCTTTTTAGCTCTTGCACCCCTCAAACAAGCGCAAATCCTTTTATTTGTGACCCCCCCCCACCCGCTTAAGAGCTTTAGCCTAGTGTTTGTTGTCCCTCCCTGGCCCAGAGAGTTCTCACACCGTTCTTGCTTGGACCACCTTCTAAGAGCCACTAAGCCTCTCTCCCTTCCCCACCCGGACAAGATACAACAGTGACCATTGAAGTACAGGGGAGATTAGGTGTGACCTCAAAGACTTCAACCACTTAAAGATAATCTGAAAGTAATAGAGCAGGCCGGGATTAATTGAGGAACAATTGCGAGCATGTCCCCGGGAAGGTGGTGAGTCTGACCCTGGGTGGCTTTGATGCCCCTCCTTTTCCTTGCATGCCAGGCTGTGGTTGCATGCCAAGCTGGTGAAATCACGCAGGGCAAGTTGACACCTTCCACTAAGTTGGCATAGAGCCAGATGATGAGGACAAAATGATTGTGAGAAATACTTTACCTTGGTAACCTGACCGTAATGTAATATCCTACATTTTTCTTCATTTTGTTTGTGACATTTTATGTACCTACAACAGTCATAATTCATTTTTATGTGACCATTTTCCATCCTCTCTATACCCCTTAGAATTACTCTTACTGTGCCTTCAAAACCCATATGTAAATGAGCTGTTTTCTGATTTTCTGCTTTGTGATGCAGCACAAACAAAAAGCAGCCCAGGCTGAAGCATTCCTTATAACACCAGCTTGAATAGGTGGGGCTAAACTGCTGCAGGCAGAATAGGAAGATATATATAAATGTGTTTTTTAATGACATCACAAAAACAGTGAATTCAAAACAGGCTGCTTTTGCAGTTTGGTCTTCAAAAATGTCCTGTATGGACCGGAGAATGATTGGCACTTTTACAACTTTAACAATGTTTACATACTGCATCAAATTCTTCTCTTCAAAATAAATAGAAGAATTTGGTTTACCATGATATGAGTCTGCTAAGAGAAAAAAGGAAACACCATTAATTACTGCTGTGGCATTCAGTTATTATAGAGCTAGGTGATATTAGTGAAAAAAATATTGTTTTGTGCGAAATGTCTTAATACAGACAAAAGACAGTGGAAAAAAACTGTTCATTAGCACTGTTGCATTTAAACAGATAACAATAAGTATATTGTCTTGTAGCATGGTCAGTGCTTGAGGAACAAATATGTTTGCTGGGCTTTCCTGACCATACACTCCTTTTATTCTTTAGCTTTGTAAACAAGAAAATAAATTTGTAGTGTTTTCTTTTGAATTGTATTAAAGTTAAATCATTTGCCATTCGCATTCTTTTCCTATAAGAATTACTAGTACAGCTGCAGTAAAGCTATTGACAAAATTGATTTTAAAAAATAAATTAAATGTCATATCAGTGAAGAATTTGATTGAAGGGGAATTCCATCGATTTTTTAATTTCTGCACTATTAAATATTTAAGATGTATCAAAATCATTGAAATTAATATAATGGGAGAGCCTTATCATGGTGGAATTGTTCACATTGGTGGAGATAATTTTAATAATAATATATAAATTAATAATATAATTTATTTATAACATAATAAATTCATGGTACAGGCAGGGTGTTATAAGGCAAAATAGTCCCCAAAGAAAACAGTTTTTTTTTAGATTTATCACTATTTTATCATTAGCAATACTCCATATAAAAACTCAGAAGACACGTGTAGGTTCAGTGGTCATTTTTGCATAGTAAATAAAATTGCTCTGTTTACGTTGTTGACATCACAACCTCTGGTTTCTGTCACCGGCATTGTAAAGAAATCCGAGTTGGCAAGTTTCTCTAGAATGGAGCGTTTCATATCAAACCTTTTTGATGGACAGTGTTTGCATCTCTACCATTGAATTATGCAGAAGTTTTGATTCCCCTTCAATGCCTAACTCCGTGTTGGCACATGTCCCACACTCGGCCTGCCAAAGACAATTTGAGAGCGCTGGGATGGCGGAGGAATTGGCTGGAGGAATTGGCCGGCAAGGGTCTGTAGTTACTTGAAGGGTTGCCTGAGTGTTTGTCAGCCTTTCCAAGTAGAAAGGGATGCTCATTTTTTGCCTGGGGGCTTCTTGGCTGACTCTGGACTTCTTCCTCTTTGGCTTTAGCTTAAGTCCTTGATGCACTTTAAGCACTTAAGCATCGCCTTGAGCCTCTTGGTAAAGAAAGTACCATCGCAGCAGAGGCTAGTAACCCGACACGAGTGCTATCTCTGTGTTCCTTTCGCACATTTGAACCACCTTGGGTTGGGGGGGGGTTGAAGGAGATTCCAGCTGCGCCTCTTGTGGGGTGACCTGAAAATAAACAGCTGTGATCCCAGATGCAGCGTAAACATTCTTTGCCTTTGAGCATCGTGAGCTGGACAGCTTCGGACCTGTCCGTCAGCAAGTGGAAGACAGATCATGTGTGAATAAAAAGCCACCTGTATCTTTCGTTACTGCTGCATTACAGCTGCCCAATACATTGTTAATCCTTATAACAAAAGTGGCTTTTGCAGTACTGACACTGGAGAAGACTGCAATATACAATTGTAGCACTGATCACAAGACAAACTATCATTTTTATTTTTATTACAGTAAACAGTAAGCACCTTTTTTACTGTTACTGTTTGTTTTTTGTAGTAGTTTTAGTTAAATGCTCTGGTTCTAAAGCCCATTTTTATCGTACATATCGCTGCTTTCGGAAGAAAACCTTGTATCTCCATTTTTGACGTTTTTCAGTTTTTGACATAATTTGAAAATATCTGTTAAATTTCATGATGAATGAACTAAAAGAAGTGACAAAAATGACTTTGAAAAAAGTCTGGTTCCATTGACATTAAAAGTAAAGTAGGTTTTTTCCTTTTCCTGTAAAGTTACTATTTTGGAGATACGAGGTTTTCTTCTGACAACAGTGATATATTTTCCCCAAAATATATCACTGTAGCTTTTGAATTACAAGGTTCTTAAGTAGACAAAATAGAAATATTGCTGCCTACATGCTACAATCAAGATAACTTTAGTGTATTTAATTGCCATCGTAAGGCTGCCAAACTCACCAAAATACCTTACACAACCAGCAAGCTTTGTCAAGTATATTAGTTAATTGGCTTAAGATGCATACAGCCATTGATTTTTGTGATGAGGTCGCAGATAAGGTTCTGATGACTCTTCAGTGCAGATCATGTTTGTGCATACAAAGCTACACAGCAGAACGGCGCACCACCACTCTTGTATTAATTGAACCTTCCTATGGGTTCTTTTTTGCCATATGGTGGTTTTGCTTTACCCTTCTGGCCAGCATATCTGGGAGTTTTCTTGGTCTTCCAGATCTTGAGTTCCACAGTTCCCCTTAACTGCCATTTCTTATTGACATTTCAGACAGTGGAAATGATGATATACCTTTTAGGCATTAATTAGCTTCACTGGCTGATCCTCAGCCAAGCTGCTACTGCCAGCAAGCTTTGTCAAGTGTGGTAGTTACATGGCTCTGGTTACAATCAGTAGCTGGTGTTATTTAATACTGTTGAAGTAGTGTATAGTTAAATAAGTAGCTGCACTTTCACAGTGATGTGTTTGCTTGCTTTTAGCATGTATGTAGTGATATTCATATTTTAATTCATTTATAATCTCATAATTCATAGGATGCAGTGACATTCAGGAACAAAATATGTGCGCAATAAAGCATTTTGGCTTTGGAATATTTTTGTTTACCCTGTGGAGCGTTAGGAGTAATTTACAAAAACAGACAAAATGTAGACAAAAAGTATCTTTATTCAGGCACATCGCAGAATACAAATAGACGCACCTCAGAGGTCTGTCAAAGCTTATATTCACAGTTCTAGAATTTTGTCTATGTTGTGTGGCCCTACCCTGCTCTTATACCTCCTTGTGTCTTTTCTGCATGTACTGTCTACCATGGCCCCCCTGTTGTTCTGGACCACTCTTCCTTCCTCCAGTTTGTAAGTATATCATTTCCCCATCTCCTTCCCTTTAAAAGATGTCGTGAATATGTGTGGCACCACATCCCTTTGTGTCCCTTGTTAAGAGTCCCCTGGAACAGGACATGGAGGTGGTATTTTACTTAGTGTGGCTAGGTGGCACCCCACAGGTCCAGGACAGGAACTTGAGCAACGAGGACAGGAGACACCACATCCTGTTGGCCATCGTCCATCACGGCCGCCCTCGTGAGACCTGTCGGGCTGTCACTCAGGCACTGCACCGGCCAATCCGTCTCGAGGGTGTGACAGCGAGGACAATAGGCCCGTAGATAGAAGAGCCAGACTCCATTTATCACAATCTGTCTAAAGGGCTGGGCCCTGGACACACCTAGAGGAGGGCTGGGGGCCAAAACACAGCTGCAGGACGCATACAGTGGAGCATAGCTGAGAAGACACAGTAATTCCAGATGTTTTAGCAGTGTTGCTCAACTTCTCATGTGCAGTAATACATGTATACAGTAACAAATTGGAAGGATATGCTAAATAAAGGAGCAAATAAAACTAAGCATATCCGACGTGCAGGAGGAAAAAGATAATATAAAAAAATAAATAATATATATCATATATAATAAATTCATAATTTCAAATTGATATAATTTCATAAAAACATGTACACTATTTTTTTGTTACCTGTTTTTTTTTAGTTTTTGCCCTGTCGTAAAATTAATAAAATAAATAAATAAATTTACCATAAAATAATAAAATAAAATTTATAAATAGAAGAAAATCTTTTTAAAATTTTGTTTTATTTGTAAAAAAAAATAAACAAAAGTAGCTGAAATCTTGAGCTGGTTAGTTCTGGGCTTCTCAATGCTCCCAGCCATCGCATACATTTCGTAAAATATATAAGTACACACATATAGTTGTATGCAAAAGATTGACCACACCTGGTGAAATGAAGTGATTTGCTAAGTAAAAATATCTTCTACAGGGAACAAACTTAAAAAAATGAAAAAAATAATTTTAGTGCACTCTCTGTTTATTTGCTCTTTATTATTTGAGTTTAAATCGTAAATTACAACATAAAATATAAAACATGCCGTAACTTTTGCACAGACCACGTTTTTTTCAATATGTTAAATACAGCAAATAAACAGTAATTATGCATTAAAATGTGCAGAAGTGTGTTCTCTGTAAAGATCATGTTAACTTATTTTCACTTAGAAAATCAACAATACATGTAATTTCACCAGGTGCACCCAAACTTTTGCATATGTGCATATATGTTTACAGTTTCTTGTGTGTGTTCCAAGGACATTAAATGCCACTTCATGAATCAGTTTTTTTTTCATAATATTATTTGATGGGAGTGGGCTTTTATACATCGAATTATATTATAATTATTTTGGAGCATTTCTACTGGTCCGTTCATTTTGAAATTTTAACAAATCGTTAAGGGCCGCTGACATTTTCACACTGTAAAAAAATAAAGACAGGACATTTTGCTTAGATGATACATAAGTATAATATGTGTAATACTTAAATTACACTTGCTGCACATGCCTGGGTAATCTTTGTGACGGTGCTAGGGAGTGTACATGTGTACACTTGCCTGCTTTCTAAACATTTTTGTTGGTCTTGTTCACTCATAAGTTTGCTGTTTTAGCTTGAGGCGCATGTTTTCTGAGCATTGGGTTTGTGCACAGTTTGTACATAGAGTCCATCTCCTCTGTTCTCCATGCTGATGAACGATGTTCATTATTGAAGCTTCAGCTTGTATTTGTGTATGTGTGTGTGGTGGGCCCTGTGTCCTTCTGATGGACTTGTCAGTGGGCTGATGCCTGGGTGGGTCCTCCATCACAGGGTCATACCAACATCATCAATCTTCCGCCGGGTGACAGGCCCCAGCTTCCCCCGCAGTGGGCACACTGGTTTGTTGTTTTGTAATTAGGCCACCATTAGATGGCAGGAAACCGTCCCCTCCACACGCACAGCTGGGCCCCTCCGCTGGCGGCCAATAGGAGCCCACGGCCTCCTCCACTTTCTGCCATTGTGGAAGCCAGGAGGGACTTTTCTAGTGCAGTGGCTAGAAAGTGCATGCTTTGTAAAACGCTTGTATTACAGCTTGTATCATGTGGCCTGAGGGTGATACACGGGAAGTCTTGCTAGGATTAGGTCAGTGCCGCGTTCTCCAGTCTTAACCACAGAAAGTCAGTCTGGCCTTTTACAGTCTTGGCTTCTATTCCAGTCTGTCAGCCAATCAGGTAACACACTTGGGTCAACTTGGCAATTGTGATTACCGCTTCATCACTTACGATACTCGTTCATATAGTAACACAATTGAAAGTTCATTCCTTTGTGGATAAACCTGGTGACCATAGGATTAGACTAACGACTTTACTAGACAGCTCAACACGTTGTGCCTCATACCTCACTTTGACACAATTTGTCAGCCTTTAGCCTTCAGCATTGATCAGTTTCTGACCACAGGGCTGCTGTTAATCAGATATTACTTGTGTGGTTGAACATTTTCAGCACATCAGTGGCACTCACATGGTACACTCACAGAAAAAAGAAAACTTCACCTTTCAGACTACGTCTTCAGGAACAAAGAACATTGTGCAGAAGTCTTAGGCACATGGGAAAATTAAAAAAGCTACTTAGTTGGTCACCAAGCATTAATTTGCCCAAACACTAATATTAAAATAAATACAAACAATATTGATACAATAAGTAGTTATTCATTGTCATTGTATTTGTTTAACCATTTCCTTGTGGCAGCACAGTATTAATTTTAGTTGTTCTCCAGCACCTGGTTTGGCTACTCAGTCCATGTTAAAATTAAATCAGTGTCCATGGGTGTTGAGGAGAAATCTGGAAACTTGTGCTAACCATCTCAGAAGTTTTCTTTTTTTTTATGTATTAATGTTTTTTGTTGTTTATTCAATTGTTGCGATAAATGGTTTTAACTAATTCGCTTACATGCCAAAGACTTTTTCACAGTACAGTAATTATGCCATATTCCGCTGCAGTGACTCCATTCCCATCTTGACTCCCGGCTTTCTATTTATATTTTCTATTCTAAAAAGGTAATTTATAAAAAGGTATAAATATGCCCATTTCCCCTTGTAAAAGGAATTTAAAGTACCTTTAAAACTCATTTAAGGTCATAATTGGACCTTAGTGTAAAGTGCAGAGGCGGTATCACATGTAATAGATGTACATTTGAAATTGTAAATGTAAAAAGTGCAGTCCACTCTGTACAGTCGTGTTACCACTTACATGAAACATCGTAGGTATTTATCTTAAGTAAAATGATTAAGGACTAAAAGTAGAGCTGTAAATTTACATTTTTCAAATGTCAGAAATGTACTGAAAGGTATACATAGGGTCTAAAACTGAATTTACTATCCAAGAGTTTAATTCTAAAATGTTTCATATCCTTTTGTGACAGTTTTGGGTATAACGAGTTTTTGAAACAGCAGTTGACGTATGATGGAAAATTTTCATTTCTCTAATAAAGGTGGTATTAATCACGTACGGCATAGATATTATTTGCACACTCCTATCAACGTATATCATAAAAAAAAGAAAATTCTTGAAAATGGTCTGGATTGTGTTTTAGAACAGTTACAGTTTTTTTCCACATTTCCCTGAAGAAATTTTTTGCATCCTATTCAAAGGTGAAGAGAAAGTGATCACAAACACATCACAAATGAGTTTTCAGTGTGTTCTGCTGACTCTGATTAAACCAGCTTCATTAGTTGTTTGATATACAGTGTACAGTAAAGCAGTGACTTTATGTGTGTGTGAAGCTTTGCATGTGATGGAAACTAAATGCTGTGATTTTGTCCCTCAGACGGCTCTACATTGGGCTGCTAAGCATGGCAAAGCAGACATGGCTGTTGCCATGGCTGACGCTGGAGCTGATGTCAACATCAAAGCTGTAAGTAAAATTATATTATCTCAATAGTAGAAAATGTTTTTGTACAACATGCGGTGTGCCTTGATTGTTTGTTTAAAAAACAGTCATATGCAAACGTTTGAACACCCAAGTCAATTTCCAGCTGCATGCAAAAGTTTGGGTACCCCTGTACATTTTGTTGATATTCTAAGTTCAAATAAGTTCACACATCATCTACAGAGAACACACTTCTGCACCTTTTTAATCTGCAATTACTCTTTATTTGCTGAATTCAACATATTGAAGAAAATCATTTTATATTTTATGTTTTACTTTTTTGGAATGTGTTAAACTCAACAAATAAGGAGAAATTGTACAAAGAAATCCCATATTTATGTTTGTTCCCTGTAGGGGGAGGTGGGGATGAAATGTGGATGTTCTGTGATTTTATATTAACATATGTGCCATCATATGTGCCAAAAGACAATAAAGCAATTGTTCACAAAAAAGTTGTGTATGTTCCCTGTCGAGGATGTGCTAACCAATTATTACTTAGAAAAGCAACAAAACATTTGTTCAAACTTTTGCATATGACGGTATGTGTTTTGTTGTTGACACATTTTCTACAGGGAACAAACATAAATATGGCATTTAATGTGAATCTTAGTTCACAGCTCCTATTTATTTACTGAGTTTAACACATTCCAAAAAAGTAAAACCTAAAGTATAAAATGTGCCATAACTTTTGCACAGGCCACATTTATGTGTTATGTTTTTCCAATATGATATATAATTCAGCAAATAAACAGTAATTGCGCATTAAAATGTGCAGAAGTGTGTTCTCTGTAGAGAATGTGTTATTTTCACTTAGAAAATAAATAAAATGTTATTTGACCGGGTCACTCGAACTTTCGCATACGACTTGGTATACCTTACAGACTATATAAACGTTACGTTGCTCTTTACAAAATCATCATATGTTTATTAGTTAAGAAACTAACTGTTTTTTAATGTCCTTTTCTTACAGCATGTAAGTAGCTGCCCTTGATTGACCCTCTATTCACATGGAAAACGGTGCAGAACTGTAGATGACGTGTTTTCATCACGTGACTGCCCGACTGCCACAGGGTTGGAAGTTTGAAGTCAGTGCTTCTGACATAACTCCTCCAAAAGAGAAAGTGCAAAATCCAGCTGTACAAATGAACGCGGGCACTGGTTCAGAGTGCGTGTTCATAAATCAAACCGTGTCATGTTAACCGCTTCCCTTAAACAATGTCCTCATGTATTCCAATAGCAGTGCTCTGAGAGGAGCAATTGCACTGAATTACTAAGCAATTACCATCCTGTCGTTAAGGTTTGTTGCTGTAACCTCAGTTAATTTGTGTCTTCTCAGTATGGCCTTCTCTTTTTTTTCCCCCAATCTCGCTATCCATCGCTTCTTTTCCTGACTCTGTATGGGTGTTTGGATGGATCTGTGGCATGGCTCACATCAGGGAGTAAGTACTAATAAGTCTTCTTCTTCTACAGCTCTGATTTTGTGTTACTCGTAAAAAGTGTGGAATCACTTGTCATATTAATACTTTATACAGAACTACAAAAACCTTGTATTTACATTATTGTACTTTTTTTGCATAATTTGAAAACTCCAGCTAGCCTTTGCATTATATTGAAATTTCATGATGAACTGACCAATAGAAATGGTCCACAATCTAATTACATTGACATCCATTGTAAGTAAAGACGGTGTTTTCCTTCTCCAATAAAGTTACCATTTTGGAGATACAAGGTTTCGTTCTGACAGTGACAATATACGTAATAATCTTATTTTATATATACAATAAAAATTATACTAAGTAAATTTACATATTATAAACTAGACTTCAAAATTTACCAGACACTTCATAGTTCTAAAATGACTAAATTATTTTATTCAATATTTCAAGTACCCTGGGACTAAGTTTTCGTATTATTTATAGTAATTTCTTGTCAATGTATCTGCATCAAGATCTGATCACCACTTTTGAAATATGAGGATACTTCATTCTTCTTGCTGTACGACTTTCTCAGTCACTTTAGAATTGTAGTCATTTTAAACTAATGGTATTTGTTTTAGTATTCATGGTCATTTAAGCATCATTACTGTCAAATCTTGATTGAACTTATGCAGTGTAGATTTGCCTATTATAAACTAGACTCTGAAATGTCTGTTTAGATGTTTTGTTTAATGTTCTAAGCTGGGACCAAACTATAATAGTATTATAAGAATGTATTGTTAACTTACCTGCATCAATATTTGATCACCACTTTTGTAAAATATGTGGATACCTCATTCTTCACACTTTCTCAGTCGTTTCAGAATTTTAGTCATTTTAAACTGATGGTAGTTGTGATAATATTCATGCTAAACAAAAAGGGTCCTTTCTGGTCCTTTGAGAATCATTCCTGTGACTAGATGTTTAGTTTAATTTTTCAAGCAGCCTGGGACCAAGGTTTAGTAGATTTAATTTATAGTAATTTCTTGTAAATCTATCTGCATTAAGATTTTAACACCGTTTTTGAAATATGGTTTTACTTCTTGAAACTGCGATGTTCTTAGTCATTTTCGAAACACCTCAAGGTCTGTTCATCACACATTGCTTACTTTTCTTAGTCATTTTAGAAACACCCACAGGTCTGTTCTTCAGACACATTTCGTACTTTTTTCAGCCTTCTATTATGTACTTGAAACATGTGAAGTTGCACAGCACTGTAACATTTTAATATTTTTATGCATTTATCTTCTGGAGCCAAATTAGTTCTATATATATTTTTATATCCAACGTTTTGAATGGTGATTCCAAACTGTTGAACATTGTTGTATATTTATTCAAAGCTGTATTATAATTTTTACATTCTAGACCTTCACTTCTGTTGTTAGCTGAGGTAAAACTTTAGCTTAGAAGAGCATTAATGCTGTCTTGCTGTTTTGTTTACAGGGATACACACCTTTACACATTGCTGCGCTGCATGGCCACCGCCACATAATTGATTTACTAATTACAACATATGGTGAGCGTCCACTGATAGTTATGTATTGAAAAAATGTTGTCATGGCAAGTGAAAACATCTTTTATCTAGTCAATATAGCTAAGACTTCTCATTATGACAATGTTGTAAGAATATTACCAGATTATTTAACTTCTTTCTGTAGTAATACTACTAATGATAATGAACTTTTATTTCTATAGCATTGTTCATGCACTGAAATGCAGCTCAAAGTGGTTTACAATGACTAAGGCAAATAAAAGGCAGCACAAGTGAAGAAACAGAAGAAACAGAAGGTAAAACGTGAAAAAAATAAAAATGAACACTTCTAATAATAATAATAAAAAACTTAAAAAATTAAAAAGTGTTAATGGTACGTAAAACAAAATATTAAAATCAAAATGAAATGAAATAATAATACAAATAAATAATTGCTTATAAAAAGTCAAATCATATCACAAATAAAACTGGAGAAAAGCTAAAGCAAAAAGATGTTTTAAAATGCCTTTTTAAAATGCTCACGTCTTGAGGGAGGGCATTCCTCAGTTTGGGAGTGTGTACGCTAAAAGCAGCCTCACCACTTCTGTGTTTTACACAAAGTAATCCTATGTTTGATCATCTTAGACAACTTTGTGAAGCATATTTAATTAGACAGTCTGACATTTAAGAATGTTAGTCATTAATTTCTGTGTGTATTTACTTGTTTTTTACTATTATCTATTTATTATGATTGGCAAATATTTTTAATGTTTCAAGACTTTATGCATAAAAACAAGCCAGATGATCTGCTGATAGAATAAGACGTTTTCAGTGGATAAAATTGCTTAAACAAGTAAAAATATCTAGAAATAATTTGAGTAATCTAATATTTTACAACAGTCTCAAAATGAGGAATTTTAGATATACTGACTAGATTTAAGATGATTTCTTGCAAATATTTTTTTTTGCTGTATGATCGTGCCAGACTGGTTAGGATTCCTGATGATATTTGTGGTAATATTAATATTATATGTGGTAATATTAATATTTAAAATTTATGGTAACCTAAAAAGTTCCTTGTCTGTCGAGCACAATCACTGTGGTATTGTGGTTGAAAATAAGAATCTTCGGTCTGTCTACCAGGAGCAAAAGAAAACCTGCGAGACTACAGCGGCCACTTAGCATCCCATTACCTGAACATGCAGAAGATAGCAGAGGAGAGCAGTGAGCTAAGTAAGTAGTTACAGATTTACTTTCTAAACATTTCTCTTGTGTTGATAGAGCTGTTCTAAAAAAAAGTTATTGGCACGCATGCGTAGAGATATTAGAAGTGGAGTGCCTCAAGATTCAGTTTGGGGGTCATTTCAGTTCTCACTGTTTGACTACTAATGATTTCATGATTGTATCAAATGATATAAATCCCAGCTGACTTGAGCAAAGAAGGCAAAAAGACTAGGAAAGAATCAAAAACAAGTAGGCAGAAAATAACATATACCCAAAATAAGAGCCAAACTAAATAGTATGTGTTAAGCTTCTTGCCTTCTTAAGCTGCCTGATGAATTTCTCATAGGAGGGAATTATGTAACTGGTTTTGAGAGGTTTCTTGTTTGACTTGAAGGTCCAGAGTATCATAGCCCGGCCCAAGTGAACGAGCGGCGCAACAGAAAGCTAACTTCACTCTTTCAGTCTCGGAAAAAATGGGGTTCTGCAGAAGATCTGGCACCCGTCCCGGAGGAGAGGACAGCGCCCCATCAACTCATGATCCCTGCCTTCAGACCAAGGAAGTTCTCCCGCTAAACGGTCATCACTGGTACACAGTAGACTTTAATTGGAGTGAGTTGAAGGGTTGAAGTACAGTGTTTTATCCTTTTTTTGCTTTGTAATATTTGCTGTGCCTTACATTGTTATTTAGTGATTTATTTTATTATATTGCTGTTTATTTTTATTTTTGTATTAGAGGTATCAGAGGTATTTCTCATGCTTTACGCTTCTCTTATTTTTTGCCTCTGTATTTCTTGTCCATACAGTTCAAATAAGAAACTCAAGGTTCATCATCATATGAACCAATATAAAAGTAATCAGAGGAATGTTTGCTTGCTTATTCTTTAGACTTTCTCCATGATGGCCCTGAGGAATGTTATACAGGGAAGGATTGACTACAAAAGTCATGCTGCTACATAGTCATACTTTTCTTAAGTCTACAGAACCACATTCAGAATCATGTCTAATGGAAGGTGCCAATTATTTTTAAGCTTTACAGTTATTTCTTATGCTCATGTGCTCAAAATTTAAAATACAGTTTTGTGTACCTTCTCTACTGAGAATATTAAGTATTATAAATATTATATCTAATAATATTCATTGAAGTGATGCTTATTTTTTGCTATGATTAGAATTTTCTAATGAGAAGACACAGAGGTGATAAAAAAGACATCATGTTCATTTGTGTCTAATGCTGGAAAATTGTTTAAAATTTGTTTTCTTATTTTTCTGCCTTCATATCTCGTTGTACGGTTTAGCAAAGTTTTTTTGCTTGTGTTGCTGATCGTAATTGTTTCTGTGTGGAAAAAAAATAAATAATTTTGTATTATGATATTTGCACACTTTTTCTACATCTTTGTCGGCTGACGTTGCAGCTGTGGGGCTGTAATTATTTTTCCGGTTCCGGAATGTAAGTGTTGTTCATTACTGTTGTAGCCACATTAAGAAACACATACTTACTAGTTTACGTCTCATTTTATGTCCCATTAAATGTCTCTGAGGTGTTTTTGGGACAACATGCAGTTTGCAGCTGTCAGTACAGCTGAGTGATAGAACAGGAATATAATGAGCATAAACCTAAATATACAGTGCTTTAAAGGACATATGAATGTGCCTTCTACTTTGAAAAAAGCCCAGTTTTTATTCTTGAAATTCATACCCATTAAACATTGCTATGTAATGCCATTTCTTTACAGTTTTATGCCTGTACCTAATAGTATAAACAAAATTAAGCAGGAGAAATAAATTGACTTTGTCATATTTATTTAATGGAGGCTAAAAATAGAATCGTCTGACTGAAGCATTTCCAGAAATAATTTGAAAATTGCTGAATACTGAATACACTGTTTTATTCAGAATACATTAAGAATACATTGATAAGACACATGGGGAACCATTTATTTATTTATTTATTTATTTATTTAAATTTAATTCACACTGTTCTTCACTGTTAAAGTTTGGCAGTTATTCCTCTGTTAATACATTTAATGAAAATTTTGCTTATTTAAGTGAAATTATAAAATTCTCAACATTTTTTCTTATTGTCTGCTTCGGTTCACTGCTGTTCCCACAGTCCTCCAAGCACTACAACACCAATGACACCAATCATCCTCTTATTACTCACAAAACATGTCCACTACTGAGGAGATTATTAACAAAAGAGCTCAGTTATACTGAGATTAATAACTGGCCTATTACATTGCTTTATCAGTCTACTCAGGCTTTAGCAGGAACTTTGTTGTTTGTAATGGAGCTGTTAATTGAGGTTCTCTTCATAGTTCATCTAACAAGCACGTTCACTACATGCCATACTCTGATTTTGAAATAGTTAATAAACAAGCATCAATGGTATTTCTTTTAAAGGCTGTATGTTTTTATATTTAGTGCGTAAGTATTCTAAACGTATATCCCTAAAAATGTAAAATGCAACTACATTCTGAACACTGCCTTTAAAAAATGTAACTTGGATTGAATACAGATTTTAAGTTCTGTTTTCTGAATAAGTATTCCCAATACTTGTTTTCCGTTACATCCCAACCCTGAGCATCCCAACGATAAAGATCATTAATATTTTTATTTATTCCCACATTTCTATTATGTTAGGATGTTGTTAGTATTTAACATATTGTCTGCTCAGGCTTCGCTGAAAGTTCTGTCCATAAGTCGCTCAAAACATGAAGGGGGCATAGCAATAAAATGGATAAGAGAAGGAAAAAAGCGTCTTTAACTTTAATGTATGTTAATATTTGGAGACTTTTTGAGTCATTTTGGACCATTTCTATTGGTCCATTCACCATGAGATGTTCACACAGCTGTTGTCCAGTGGTGTAAGTAAATGGAATTACAAGGTGTTGATATGACAGAAATGTTGAGCTGATGAGACGTTCGAAACTTTTTTACGCTGGACACTACTGATAATCTGCACAGTCTCCTTTTCATCACACTCATGGATGAGCCTAACAAGATTACACCCTATCAGATCTTTTGCATGGGCCCTCTGTGTCCAGCGGTTTTCCCACCTTCCCTCCAACTTGGAGAGGGCGACAGAGAAAAGACCAGCTCCTTCTATTCTTTCCTGCTTTTTTCACCCTGCCTTTGATTCCCATCAACCCTCTTGGCTTTGAGCTTACCCAGATGGAGTAAATATGGGCCCTGTTGGCCTTCCATAGGGCTTGAGCCCTTAATTCCAGCTTAGCCGCCGAAAGGGCAGCAGCACTTGCTTTTGGGTTCTTTCTGGGTATCAGAGGAGTGAGAGGGGAAGACATGCGAGGGGTTTTGTGCCTCGTTTTTTGAAGGGCATTGGTGGGGAGGGGGGGTGTTGCAAGATAAGAAGGAGTTTCTGTAATAGATACTTATCTGACTGCCCTCCAGCCCTCAAACAAAGTCCCCTCTCTGAAGAGATTAGAACCCAGGGAGGGCACATTAGCTCTAATCCTGTGCTTTGAGGGGCCTAGGCCCCCCTACGGCCCACTTATTCCAACCCCTTCTGTTGTCGTGGTGTAGGGGGGGCTAGCTTGTATCTGGCCCATGTGTAAGGGGATCCTGCGGCTACACATGAGGGAGGGTCAGGGTGTGTGTGTGCTCACAGGAATGGTGTTTGGTGGGGGCCAGTGTTTTCAATGGTAAGCCGGACCGCACTGCTGTGTAACTGATTCCTGGTCCTCTGAAGAGATTAGGCACTACATTGTTGGTTTGGTTGCTCATTTCCATCTGAGGGCGACTCCCCCTGCGGCAGTCCAGGGCTTGCTATTGTGCCGCGGAGGAGGGGAGGTTGAAACCTTGCAGTCCAAGGCCTCCAGCTTCCTTGTAGCCTTTGTTTTACAAATGGCCCGAAATGTAGATGTCACGTCACAGATGCTTTACAAGCACCCCAGGTACTGATTGTGAGGCCTAGCTGGGAGAAAATGACTGCATAAAAGTACATTTGTTAATGACAAACACAAGCACTTGCCCTTTGCTCTCCAACATCTGTGTGACAGACCCTTTCCACCATGATTTCTGTCTTTAAAGTTGAAATTATAATTAATAAATAACACATTTTCATCTGAAAATATAATAAATGCTAGGCTAATGTTAGCATTTATGCTAGGGTACATTGTTGAAAAAATAATGAAAAAGTCTAAACGAGCTTAAAATCATATTTGAAAACATACTTTTGAAAAAACGTATGATTTAGAGACTCTAGTTCATTGTTGAATCACAGAAGAGGTTGGAATGCTAATGCTAATCTACAAATGCTAACTGCAAAAAAGAAATCTACAGACTTTAGATGAACAAATCAGCATCCTGATCTGGATATAGAAAGTATCCATTACTTACAAGCATGAATTTATAAATTAAGTCATAACATGTTACCTGTATGAACACCCAGGAAATGCAGCATTCAGACCCAGGTTTGAGCCCTAGCTGTGCCATATGACATCTGTAGCAAGCGACACCGTTAGCCAGGATGTTATGTTATATGAATGAATATGAATTTATTACCTTACAACAAATAGTGTCATTTCAAACCCATAACATTTCCAGTTAGAGCATCCAGGAAATGTAGTATTTTGATCCAGGTTCAAGCCCCAGCTGTGCCATGTGACGTCCTTGGCTAGCGACACATTTTGATATGCTAGCCAGGTGTCAGCAAGGTCTCAGGCTAGAACTTAGTGGTCTCATCCAAGTGAGTTAAGGGTTTAGCATATGCTATGTGGCTTATTGGAAAAGATGCTAAAGAAGGCTTTGTGTTCCATGGAGGAGGCACATACTAATCTTTGCTTTGATTGTACTGTCATGTGACAGAGGAGAAACCTATCGCATAAGCAACTGTCTATAGCTGCATATAAACAAAAGTGGGGGAAATAAATCATCCACTTAGAAACTAGCCTTATAATGTAATTATTAACCCCTTAAATTCCTTTAAGTTGTAGAATTAAGGAATGGAAGCATGGATCTGTGAGTGGGCATTTAAGTGGTTACTATTATGCCACTACTAAAAAGCTGATGTCTTAATATGTGGTTATGAGAGTGAGGAGTTGAGTTGTGGACCCACAATTTAAATTCTCCAAGACAAATGGTAGGATGTTTAAGTGGATCAAGTCCAGTTCAGTGTAAAGAGTGTTATTTGTGGAGATCTTACAGTTTTCTACACTGAAAAATAGTAATGCTTTGAATTTATCTTAGTCAAATGTGCACATCATTTCCATATAAATAAACATATTACATCATGTTTTTTTCACTTTAAATATCCATAAAGCTACATGACATCTACATAAGCCTTTCATTACAACTGACAAAAACCTAAATAGATATTCAGATTCAGATTCAGATTCAGATATTCATGTAGCCTTATGAATGCTGCCCTTCAGCAAAGTGTTACCTGGTTCACTTGCTTTTGGCTATAAGTCAAAGTAATATGTTTTATTCATGTAGGAATTATGTATATATTTGAAATAACTACATGCAATACATCCTTTTTCAGTATATAGTACATTGTTCTTTTTCCCTTTTCTCAGTCTACACTATAGGCCTACTTGGACCATGCGGTAACTGGTGTTTGGATCAGCTAGGCCAAGCTGCTGAAGCCATCGTCTTACGTTTAACATCACTGTTGTAGTCTTCAGGTGAGCCAGGCTTCATTGCAGCCCTCCCCCTGCACCCACACATGCCACCAGGGACTTCACCCATGAGCCAGGCCTCATCTCTGGCCCAGTGTTTGTCACAGGCTAACGAACGCCACCTGTCACTCACCCCACGCAGGGGCCGTCAATCAAATCCCACCCGGGAGAGAGAGCGGGGGGCGGGACCCGCTCAGCCCCCCAACAAAGACATCCTCCCATTGGCAGTCGCTTGCAGTGCCACTTCTCTGTTAGAGGGAGTGATGGAGTGGGGCTGATAAGGGAAAACGACAAAAGATGGGACGGAGGTGGAGGGGGGGAGTTGATAGCGAAGGGGTGGGACAGCTTGATAACATTCACGCTATGCTAACAGCCCTCCATTTGGGACTGGGGGCCCTTGGCAAATCCCATTAGTGTTTCCACTGGAGGCTCGGGGGCCCAAGCAAAACAATGGTTTTCAGTATGCGAGGTTTTATCAGTTTGATTAGTTACTTAATCTGACATTTCTTTACTATAGATAGATTCTGTAGATTAGCATGCTAGTTTGATTAGTTGAGTTTTCAGTGTATCAAGTTTGTCAGCGGCATAGTGAAGCTTTTAGCACAAAAAGACGACTGGAAGAGTATGAAAGGAAATTTCCAGAGGTGTGAAGTAGACATTTCCCTTATTATCATGTAGCTGCGATTGAGACATAAAGTAGAAAATATCCACATCTATTCAGATGCAGCAATGCACTAGACATACATTAAAGTGGAAGATAATTCCACAGGATTTGCTATATTTCCTTTTCTGACCCAAAGCGATAAAAGGCCGCTATTGGCTTCCTCTCATAACCTCAAGCGGGGGAAAAAAGGGCACTTACTCAGAAAGAAAAACTAACATGAAGAAGGTGTTAAATGCTTTCTGTTTATTCCCTTCAAGCTTTTGTTAACAGATCTGATTCAGCCCCTGACTACAGTCTATTCTAATGACGTGCTCAGGCCTTTTGTTGGCTCGGTGGTATGCAAGGCCCACTAAATGAAGTCACACCTTTTGGCCATTGTCATTATCAGCTCATTAGGCCATACATACTGAGGCTTGGCCCCTCAGCTTGACCTGGCAGCTTTCCAAAAGAGCTACATATTGCAGGAATACTGTTTGGGGTACATTTGCATATCTTATCAAATGGCAATTAGTTCAATGAGTTTGTTATACTTGAGGACCCTTTCTTTATTGCTTTTTTTGGGGAAATAAGCTGGGTACAAAATAGTTTTATTACCAAACATGTGGGAAACTGCAGATGAAAATTAGTCAAAATAATAAATAATGATATTGATTAATGTGTTTTGTTCCTGTTAAAATAAAAAACACCTCATGAAAGAGAGAATGCTCAGTTAATGAAGACTTGCGCAGACATGATGATCACTTTCATTTAATTTCTTTGTTTTCTGTTACAAAATGAGACTTTGATAGAAATGTGAGAACACTGTTTGTCAGAAGGCTCAGTAGATGGATTGTGCAGTTAATGAATACAGTCAGCACCCTCCATCTCTTTATTTGCCGACTTTCTGATACAGGCCTTTGTGGAATGTTGCCTGCCTTTTTTGCGCAGCTCTCTTTGCAAACGAGTGACATCCTATGAGCAAACGGTGTTAACTGGACCTGCCAGAGCATGTGGAACACCTGCATTGTGTGCGATCTGGGCCAGGAGGAAGGAAAGAAAACAGAGTCTGTGTGTGATGGACACAATGGCCATTGCCCAGAGCTGTTTATCTGCAAAGATGGCGCGTAAGCCCTCAGCTTTGCTCTCCGTTCAGGCCATTGTACAAGTCAAGCAAATTTGTTCTTGGCCCAAGGGGCCAGAACCCTACCCAGAAAATTCCATTTCTCGCATAGCTCTCCCTAATTCTCTCTCTGGTCTTTTTAACTGCACAGCTTTAACTGAGCATTACGCTGAGTACTTCATAATGCCACACTTTGTCTTATGCAATGGCTGTGTATTAACCCTGTAAACTTGAAGTGCATGTACGTGGATCTATACTTCAGTTTCACTCCTACTTACTGCGCAATTTACATATTAGTTTCATAGTAATTCATACCACTTACAGAACAACTCAGAATACTGAATAATGTCTCAATATTACTAACTGAATAATACACCTAAAGTACAATGAGATGAAATCCAAGAACATTTCTTTAAAATATCCAGAACATGTAGACAAACTTCACGTCTTACTGAACTTTGTGCAAAAGTATGGAGACCTAACTTGAAAAAAAAACATGAATTTAGCTTCAGAATCCACCTTCAGCTCCTCCAGTAAAAGGTCTATTGGTCCATTGTAAATCGCTGTATTTGGCCTGTTTGCTGTGCTCTTGTCCCCCAGGCTAGGGGAGTAAAGGTATTCGTATGTATGTTGAGGAGTTCTGCTGCAGCCATTAGCATGTGTTATGGTGCATTATCATATCCATTAGTCCCCACCTGCCTCCCTCAGACTCATTTCATTACAACAACTCAAACAGGACCAGCCCCTTACAAAACTCCACAGCTTTGATTTATACTCTGATACATGTGTGACATCTGTACTGCTTCTATATAGAGTCACTGTTAATGTTTCTTGTGGCAGTTTTTTTTTAGGTCATGAGGTTTGTGGTTTATGGTTCTACACAGTTCATTACTTTCAAGTGTAGTCATAAAATGTAATTGTGTTTCTCCAACAAGTAATTAGTGAATAAGAAGTTAATGAACAGGTAAAGCATTGTTGCATTTTTGCTCTTTACCTATTGCCATTTAATAAAGAGACTTTAACTGAACAAAATTAAGCATTTAAACAACAGATACTGCCACTATTAAAGCTACTATTACTACTACTACTAGCAATTATATGAGGAAATAGCAGTAATAGAAGTAGTATTATTACTAATGATTATTATATACTAATACTTTTTTCTTCTTCTTCTTTTTTTAGTTATTATTCAGTCATAATAAAATAAGCTGTGTTAACTACATAATCAGATAACCAAAATATTCAGTACTACTGTCATATGCAATGTCCAATTATGATTTTATAAGTGAAAGTAAGTTAATAAGTCCTCTACAGGGAACACACTTAAATATGGCATTTTTGAGCAAGTTTTACTGCACAATTTCTGCTTTTTTTTTTAACATACTCAAAGGTTTAACATACTGAAAATAATAAAGCATACAATATAAAATGTGTCATAACTTTTTCACAGAGCACATTTTAATTTTTCCCAAATACTCATAAACAGTAATTGTGCATTACAATGTGTGTTCTCTGTACAGGATGTGTGAACTTAGTTTCTCTCAGAAAATCAGCAAAACATGGAGTTTTAACCAGCCCTATCTTTAGCATAGGACTGTAGTGTCTGAGTCGGCCTGTACGCAGTTATCACACGCAGTGCAGCCACGTACGAAAAATGACTTAAGTTTAATTTTATAAAGGATGAGCTGAATAAACGAATAACATTTTACACAATCTACAGTCAGTGTGAATGTAAACAGCGCGTTTATTCAGTAAGGAGGGTGAATGTGGCGCTTTTTCCTGTGTAAATGGCGGTTTCATATGAAACTGTGGAGGAGGTGTTAACTCCTGCAGATGGAGCGACTGCAGTAAAAGTGGGAGACAGACCTGACACAGCGCTGCTAATGAAATCCAGCTAATCGCTTGTAATGATGATCGTCCCGTTTACACACACACATGAAACACACTCAGCATGGCTGAAAAAGTGGATTCCGACCCGTTAATGTGCGCGATTACCGTTTGGGTTTGGCCCTCTTCTCTTCATGAAGCAGCGCAGACTTTTTTTTTTTAAACATTTTTTAAAAACGTCTAAAATTGGTTTAATTTAGCTAAATATATTTGCACATATTTATGCTTTATTTTGTATGTTTTTACTTATAATTATATTACATGTATTATTTTGAATTATATTTATTAATTTATTTATTTACAGCGTAAAAGTCCCTTTATAATGCATTAGTCAATTGAAGTCCTCGCAGACTGGGCGCTACACTGACCGTGGAAAGCTGTATTAAGAACTGTAATGTGTAATAAACCCTCAGTAGTCTACTTTATGGAGCGAGTTTTTTTTAAAGTTTGAAGAAAAAAAGCTCAGATTTAGATCTGTAGGTGCATTAATCGTCATCATCCTCCTTCAGAAACCACAGCACTTTCCTCATCTGCACATCAGCCTTATTACTCGCCCTTTCACGCCTGCTAAAAGCAGCTCGCCTCTCCTTTGAAGGGATTTAGACGGAGTGTTTGAGCTCTCCTGTCAATCAGGAGCGTCTGGCCACGCCCACCAACACTCGCTCCAACTATAAAGCCCGGAGCTCAGCCAGAGCCGCTTCACTTGGACTGTGAACATGCCTGCCTCAACTACAGGATTCGGGAACTTTTTCCTGGACAGGACTTTGCCATTGGCCGCGGGCTACCAGCCCCTGCTGCCCGGCCATTTCCCTCCCGTGAGCGGCTACAGCTTCATCCCGCTGCCTCACCCTGGACACATGGCGCACATGGTGAGTTAGCCTACTCTGCTGTTCTGGAGCTCTTATTTACACAGTCCAAAACGAAAGTAGCAGAAAGATGATGCTCTGATGTTTTTCAGTAACTTCGTTGCTTTTCATTTGTTTGCCTTACAAATTTAAATCAGTAACCTGGTTGCCTTCAGCTGAATTAAAAATGTTAAAACTTAAGTTGTAAATGCAGATTTAAAACTTTTTTACCTCGGTTTTGTATTTGAATGTACTGCATGTATTGAACCCTTGCTTGACATCAGTGCTGATGTTCATCCTTTATTGTTTCAGGCTGGTTCATATGACCTGAAGGCCGCCGCTCCGTATCCCCAGGCTCTCCTGGCCCGGGCTGCACCGTACTACCCCCAGTACCGTCCTGCAGTTGCTGCCCACGACCCCAGCCGGGTGGCCAAGGCAGCCAGCAGGGAGAGCACTGGAGCTCTGAAGGCCTGGCTGAGCGAGCACCTGAAGAACCCCTATCCCACCAAGGGCGAGAAGATCATGCTGGCCATCGTCACCAAAATGAGCTTGACCCAGGTCTCCACATGGTTTGCTAATGCCAGGAGGAGACTTAAGAAGGAGAACAGAGTGAGCTGGGCGTGCAAGGGCAAGAGCGATGAGGAGGAGGAGGAAGAGGGCGAGAGTGAGGAAGAAGGTTCTTCTCCACAGAAAGAGCCATGTTCAGAAGATGAAGGTGAAGTTGAACCTCAGGTTGTGGATGTGGAGGGCGATTGCGTTGGAGATGAAGAAGGTTCCAAGCCAGAGGAACTGAGCCAGAGAGACACTTCCAGCACTGTGGCTGAGAAGAAGAGCGAGGAAGAGTGCGTGTCTGCCAATGAGCAGTGTAAGCACAGTGTTGAAGTCCAGAAACCCAAAATTTGGTCCCTGGCAGAGACGGCAACTTCAGAACCAGTGGTGAAGTCCACTGACGTCAAAGTGTATCCCAACAATGGGCCAGACTTTGGCCAGTGGTGGGCAAACTGGGCATCGAGGAGTGGCTATTTACCTGCTGGTTATTCTGCACAGGACTTTCTACAACAGAGTCGATTGCATTGTTAATCCATGCAGGACTGTTTTTCTTGTTCATTTTTTTGCACTTTGAGCCCTCAATTCCAGCAAATGGACATGAACTGTGCTGGTGATGAAGTTTACAGTGACGCTTCTATCCAAATACCTGGTTCACAAACCAAAGGAGTTGGAGATGTGTGTTGTAAATAGTTGTAAATTTTATTTTGTTGTACACATTGTAAATTATAAATGCTTTTACATGAGTATGTTGAATTATTTTTTGCTAAAATAAAACACTTGAAAATTGAAAACAAAAACTGACTACTGGTCATGCTACGACACAAAATGACATAGAAATCCTGGGTGTATAACTATAAATGATAACATGAAATTTGGCTTTGTTAAGAGTTTATCAGTCTTATTAAGTTTTATGATGAAGTTGAATCATGGAGGCTCAGCATTCATAGCAGTTCATTGAAAATGCTTTCTAGCCAGATGAAACAGTTTGAGTTCTTGAAGAAGAATTCATAGGGTTTTTATAAACATTGAGCAAACTGCCCTTTTAAAGTGCTCCATTCCCCTTTGAGGATTTCAGCTGTCGTGTTATCTGGGAAGCCCCTGCCATTAAGGGATTTGCATATCTAGCACTGATCTGTTAAAACAATGCAGGTCAGCGCGGATTAAAGAGCACAAACTGCTCCGTCTTGCGGGGTGATAATTAACACCATTATCTTGGCTAAATCCATCGTGACGATGTGACAGACCACCAAAGGCCAGTCGGGTCTTATATCCCATTTTTCCTCAAAGGCAGCTTCTAAATTTAATATCAAAGGGGTGTTAAGAGTTATGCCCATGACACAGTCATGTAAAAAAAGTCAGAATTGTCACTGTAGTAGGCCAGCTGTGCTCCAAAATGAGATTAGTAGGCCTATATTTCTGTCATTGATTATATGTACATGTGCAAAAAGTCAAAAATATTAGACTGATTTTCATGACATTGATTACTGGATCATTTTATGTAATGGTTGTTAAAAGATAAAGGTGTCTTTTTACACATACACATATGCACATCAACAGGATTAAACCCCAGGAGGACAGAACTGTGTTTTTCTATCTCCTTTTACCAGGGTAAAGGGGGACTTTAAAAGGAGGGGGGGGGTGATGGTGAAAGGAGACCCATCCCATGCTAGTTATTCAGGTCTCTCCATGTAAATTCAAAGGCCTGTGGCCTGTTAATCCAGGGATAATGAGAAAACTCCTGGGTGCTAAAAAAGTGCGTCTGAAATGCACAGACCCCCTCAGTGCTCATCCACTACAAACACACTGGGACCAGTAATCCTCCTCTGGAGTCCGCTTCTTACAGGTGGCCCAAATGAGGTGTAATCCCAGTCTAAACATGACCGGCAGAGGGCTGGGGGCCTTTTGTGGGCCACACCAAGGTGTCACACAATGGTGGGAAATTCTGGGGCGCAATCTGTCACAAGTATGTCATATTAGAGCCTGGCTGATCCCGACATATGTTCATACGCTTTACTCAAAGTGGCTACTCTAATCATTCGCTCGGGCAGCTGCGTCATTGTGGTTTATATTCAGTCCTATGCAATGGTTTAAACACTGGTGGTCAAATGACATGTTTTATTAATTTTCTAAGTGAAAATAGAAGAAACACACACACACACACACACACATATATATATATATATATATATATATATATATATATATAGAAAACACACTGAAATATGGGATTTTTCTGCCAATTTTAGCATGCAATTTCGTTTAACATATTTTTTATTAACAGTATTATTATTTTTTTTTCTAATATGTTAAATTCAGCAAACAAACAGTGATTGTGCATTAAATATGCAGAAGTGTGTTTTCTGTAGAGCATGTGTATGTTCACTAAAATGTAATGGAAAATGACCTAAAATGACTAGGGCCCTCAAACTTTTGCATATGGCTGTGTTGTACCCTGCAATAAACAAAGATGCAGCTAAATATGCTCCGTAATGGCGCTATGTATTCCATCAAAAGCTGCTTTAACCTTGAGGTACATCACTGCACTGATGTCATCTTTTTCCATGTATTTGTAAATTACACTGGGAATTTATTTGAATATATCAATTTTATTTTTCAGCACAAACTTTTTTTAGCATTAGCATTATTAAATAAACATAAGCGTTTTAAGTGATGGGCTTAATATGTTTAAACCAAGGTGTTCTTTCAAAAATGTTACTCAATATTAAATATTACTTTCTGTTCAAAAGGTTGAAATAACTATTTTCAATAATATAAAAAATATTTCTATGATGATGTTACTACTTTACAATTTATAACAAATTAGTAAGATGTAAAAAATAATAATTTAATGACTAAGAATGCTGTAAAACATTGCAATGAAGTTATAATAGTTAACATTCAGAATGACAGAAAACCTACCAAGGAATTACTGTAAATAGATAAGTACAAGATACTATTTATCATTTAACTAAAAAAAACTTGGAATATTGAATGAAACATCGAAAAACAACACATTATGTCTAGCTTTGTAGTACTTCAGTCTACACTGTAGTTTTATTGAATGAAATGACAGCAGTTCATATGATAATTAACTTGCAATGTATGGAGGTACTCTACACTCTTCTTCTATGTTTGGGCAGTTAAATTCAGCTCTGGCTCAAGGGTTCCTCAATGTCTGAGAGGGCAATCTGAATTTACATGATCAGGGACACTGGAGTCCCCAGTGGCTCTTTGGCCTAATTTTTATCCAGCAACATCGCCCTCTAATGGACTTACTGCACAACTGCCCAGCCCCAATACACATGAGGCACTTCACTCTAAACAAAGTTTCACACGATCAACTATGTGTCGGTTGTCTCACTGTGCCAGAGGACAATACACATCACGGAAAGAGGAAACAGACTGCTGCAGTGTTGCACCTCTAAAATGCATCCATGTAGCACAGCCTCACTTGCTTTAATGGAAAGAGTTGGAGTTTTAGACCTGGCTCAATGAAAGTGACTAGGAATCATATCAGTTCTTTTTAAATGTTTATTTCACATCTCATTCTTACATTCATGTCTGATCACAAATACTAAAAAAGACAGTGACATATAAAAAAAAACCTATTTACAACTAAACAGTCAAAAAACAAATGGAAAAAAAGTAAATTACTTTGTGTGAGCACGGCAAACAGGTTAGGTTTACTGGAACTTAAGGTACTATGCAAATACGGCTAGCAACACTAACTCATTTAACAAACTCATGCAATGTCTGGATTGCATCTAAGTCAGGAACTAGATATGTGTTGTTCTAACAAGGATATTAAGAACTTTAACAAACAATTCTTATTGCTTGTAGTTGTTTTGGCACAATACTATACATACAAGATCTATATTACAAGGATACTCATCTCAAATGATGAGCAACACAAAGTAGTGCAACACCTCTCATAAGCCACCAGCACAACACAGAGCCTCTTAGAAAATACAAATCAGCTCAAAATTAGAGTAGAATAACACACTGTATCACAAGCAGCCGAGGTTTAGAACATGCAGAGGTCACGTTAGCTGGATACTGTACCATCGAAACAGCTGACAAAATGCATCTGCAAACATGATGTAAGTGGCTGCATGTTATTACATATCACAAACCACTGAAAGTTCAAAATGTCTGCCTAATTCAATAATTAAACTGTAAACAAAGTTATTCAGGGTGGTTTGATCTTAAATTGTTTATTGTAGAGAAACTCTTTACAGTGGCGGTGACAGGAACCGGGGTTGTGATGTCTACACTGCAAATATAGCCATTTATTTAATGTCTAAAACTACCCGTGAGTCTACACGTGTCTTCTGAGTTTTACATGTAATGCTGATAATGGTAAAATCAAAGGGGAACTCTCAGGGCTGTGATTTCTGGGAAAATAAGAATACGTGTCTAATTTTTATTAATTAGTTTATTAATTAATTTTAGTTTTATTCACTACCCTGCCTGTATTACAGTATTACTCTTGCTTCATTGTTAGGTTTTGGGTGGAAACGAAAGGGTTAAAGTCCTCTGTGGTATCTAGCAGGATATAGCTAAGCTAGCCCTCCTATTGGTTAAAAGTTAAAAGACTTTAAAAGTACATTTACTATCAGTGTAATCAAGAAGTGACTGAGGAATCAACCAATCACGTTTTGATTTCCAATGGGCGGGGCCAATTTAGCAAGAATAAACATCACTCTATGCCGTCTGGAAGTCCTAGATACATCACTGACTGTGAACAGGAGCGGCAGTTAGAAATGGAAAACAATGACAGCTGCTTCTGTAAGAGTCACTGCTACAAGGTAAAATATATGCTGATATGTGTGCCACAAGCGTCAAGTGAAACATGGAATGTCTTTTAGATGTTTTAAATGTCTGTTTTATCAACAATTGCCAAAAATGTTCATGCTAATTGTCGTTAGCTTAGCGCTGAGAAATACAATTCCAGCTCCAATAAGGGATGCTAGCAGAAATTAGCATTATGGTAGAGGTGTTTTTTTTCCCTCACGGTTTGACTGAGTTTTGAGACAAACAGGTAAATCAGAAAAAAATTAATTTGCCTCACAACACCCTGCATGTGCTCCTCTGCCATGACTGTATTTAAAAAGTACAACTGAGGCCAATATCTTATCTCAAAACTAGCATCAGGCAGCGTATTCATAGTGAACCATTCCACGTAATAGTGGAAGTGAGGGAGCTTTTAGAGGCATTAAATGCTTTGGATGTCTGGTTCCTCTCGCCACGACTGTATACAGTTCCAGTTGAAAGAAATACTCCAGCGTTTTCAACTTAATCTGCTTCTGTAGAATACCGTCTGTTACCTCAGACAATAATTTTAACACAATCTCCCTTAACTTAGTAAAAGAACAGGAAACCTGTTGATCTGAAACCTACCTATAATAAAAGCCAATGGGCAGGTGCTTCTTAAGTATCTGTGAGTCATCAAGTTTCTGCTTTTTGCTCAGTATGGTGAAATTATTTTCCATGGAAATCAAAAGTTACAGCTACTCCTAAGAACTGTATTTCTAATAGCAAATGCCAACTGCTCCTCGTCCCCAAGACAAGCAGCATAACAACACGTGACAAAGTAATGCACTCAAAGATGCTGTTGAAAATTTTTCATCTAGCACAACCTCATGCGTATCTTAAAGGTCATCTGAATAGCTTCCATCTGCACTTTTTATTGTTTCAGGCTGAGAAAGAAAAGACATTTTGCTATGATCCTGATCAATGGGCAATCCGTTTGCGGACAGGCCGTGCTTAAAATGGTCATCTTGTTTGGTCACATCTTCAGTGTCCTCCTCCGGTTCATTTTGATGCTCCAAGGCCGGCTGTTGTTCAACGTTTATAACTATTTTTTCTTCAGCAGGTTGAGGCTTATTGGGGAACAAAGCAGGACAGTGCTGCTGTAACTAGAGGAACAACAGGGGGGCATTAAAACCAAAGATGAGCAAATAATCCTAGGTCTATGGCCTACATCACATACAGTAAGGAGCAGGAAGAGGAAGAAATTTGGTTACCTTTTTCTCTAGACATGCAGATCCTGTTCTGTCTGAAAGTTTAAAAATAATGATACCAAATGAAAAACCGTCACAGATAGTTAAAGCTTTCACGTATATATAAATTCTGCACAATGCCTGGACATTAAATCAAATGAAATTACATATTCAGTCGTATGCAAAAGTGAGTATACGTTAACACATCCTTTACAAGGAACTTAAATATGGCATTTTCTGCTAATTTTAGCGCACCATTTCCATTTATCCGCTGAGTTTAACATATGGCATTTTATTTTAGGTTTTTTCAATAACTTTTACACTGAAGTGTGATCTCGGTAGAGGATGTATTAACTTCTTTTCACTTTTTTTTGTAAAAGCAATTTATAGCAACCGTTAAATTCTCAGGAAATTTAAATGATGTCTGAAATACATAATAAACACACTAAAGAATACCGTATGTATATTACCTCTTTTGTACAAGTAGAACACTAGACCACAGACCACAGCGATGATCACAAGCCCAAGGACAATAAATACACCCAGTCTTACATTAGAGTGAGGCTCTGCAAGAAAAGAAAAGGAAACACTGTGATTTCCTGTCACAGGCTATCCACACATAAATATTTATACAGTACATGAGGCAGCTGCATCTCTCAAACTGATGCAAACTAAATCAAGAGTAAACTTCTGGAGGAGCCCATTCAGGAAAGAAAGAGACAACAGGCCATCTGATTAATTATTTACAGTAAGTAGGTTTACTGATAATTTTATTGTTAACACTGAACAGTAGTATTTTCAACAAAATAATTACACCTTTCTGCTCCTCAGTCTGGTATTAGCAGTAAAGGATAAGTCATTACTACTTTGGTGTACTTGTGGTGATATTCTCCTTACTAGATGGTGTGAGAGAAGAAGTCTAGCCATTTACTCACAATAGCAGAGGGCATTCATGAAGAGAGAGCTGTCATATAAACATACTTCTGGAAAAATGGTCTCATGGTTTTGGTGAGAGGGGTGAGGGACTCATTCTCTCTTATTGCAGACAACAGACTTGAGCCCCATTCATAATGTCTATTTGACTAAACTCTGGCAAATATTTTTCGCCATTTCATAACAGCAAACCTGTGACCATTTTCGTGATTGTTGGGGTCCTGTAACTGGCTGAGTTTTTTTAAGAAAAACATTTTTCTTTTTGTTTTGTTTTTTTTTTCAGCCAGGTTTTTCTGCACAGGCTGCTGATGTTGCCACATGAGACTTGGGAGAGGTGAAGTGAATGACTCGAGCAGACAAGAACGGTACAATTTTTTGTTCTATTGACTTAAACAGACATGCGCTTCTTGGTTTACCTTATATATGATCTTTGACAACAGCACAAACCAGCAGGACCATTAATAAAATTAGCTAGGTAGCTGTTCTCAGTGTTGTAATTATGTAGAATTATGTAGGAAAAAAAAGTTTGGTTTTCTTAAACCAGCAAACAGAATAAGTGTTTTGTTTTCTCCAGGTTTCAAACTACTACTTAAAACTGAGCGTTAAAAAATTAACAGTAACTATTGATGTGAAATTCTATACAAAAAAAGGTATGATAACAATTTGGGCCATATGTCTGCTGGACAGCCCAACTGATAGTTTAGTTATGTCTATAAATGTCTTAAAGGAAGTGATACTAGATGGGTGACTTGACAGCCATGTGCTTTGTTCCACGCACTCTCAGGTTTCACTTCCTGCGTGGGTTACTGTACTCTAGCCAACAGTACTTGCCCTGACGTGTACTCACAACGTGATTGATATATGACCCAAACATTCAGGTAAGGAAGTCCTTTGAATGGTATAGGTCTTTACTTACCACAGATCCTATCAGATGTGGAAGAGCCTGGCACACTTTCAACATTTCCCGAGGAACACCTACAGTATGGGAAAGACCAGAAAGGAATGTTGGCTTTTGTGATAACTACTGTCCCTTTGATGATGTGACTGTATCAAAATAGCAGGCGTTGAAGTCTGAGCACAATATTTTGACAGTGCCAACACAGTAGTGTTGGTAATTATTAATTTGGTCAAAATTAAACTATATGTATTGTGTGTGTATACAGTATGCAAAAGTTTGTGCATCCATGGTCAAATTACATTTTGCTTATTTTCGAAATGAAAATAAGTACACATCCTCTGCACCAGTGGTTCTCAAACCAGTCCCCATAAACCCCTGGACCACACATTTTTGCTCTTTTAACATGCTTTTCGGTTGGCGAAAAAACGTGGATCATCTGGAGAACTGTTTGGAGAACCATTGCTCTACACAGAACACACTGCATGTTTAAATGTACTGTTTATTTGCTGAATTTAACATATTGACAAAAATAAAACATAAAATGTGGCCTGTATAAAAGTAATGGCACCTTTCATATTTTCATACAAATAATAAATAAATTGCGCACTAAAATTAGCAGATCCCTGTAGTTAGAAGTTCCCTGTAGGGTTAACTTATTTTCACTGATACTATCAAAAAATGTACTTTGATGGTGGGTGTCTACACTTTTGAGGAGGCTTCTGGAAATTAAACTGAAAGGTAAAACAAAGACTAAGGACATACTCTTTCCATGGTAAGCAGGTTCTGGCGGAGAGTGTAGTGGAAAATTTTCCTTCAGGACAGGGCTCACACTCTGTGTCAGACATCTGGGTGCCTGTAAGAACAAATGACATCAGCATTAGCAATCAGATACTTGTAAGCTACAAAACTCTGCTTGCATTAAACTTGGCTAAACTTATAAATCTGTGTATCAGCAGTATTAGACAGTTGGTAATGAATGATCAGAACACTTATGTTGATAGTCTTTCACTATTTAAATAACAAAAAATCTGTTATTTTGAAGTTCAGGGAAATCAAATTCATTTCCATCAATTAAAAACTAAAAAAGGATTATAGGAGATAAGTATACAATAGAAAAGTAAAAGCCAATCATGTCTGATATCATATGCAACATTCAAGTGCAACATGTCGACTAAAACCATAGTGTTACTATGGAGGTTTTGTAAGCTTTGATTCAATGGCAGCAGTCCCATGTAATGGCATGTGAAATATGAGTGTACTGCGTTGAGTTGTATCGAGTTTTATTTTGCCTTTAATAAAGAAAAAGAATGTTTTCAAAAAACAACTAAACATATGATGTTGAAAACAATATCAGTGTTGTGAGATTTAGGATGCCTCTGCTATATATAAGAGTGTCGTCAAGTCTCAGGCTTACATGCATTCAGCTTGGCCAGTTTACTAGTGATGATTCATTTGTGAATGTTTAATATTTTTTTAAACAAATATTTGGACTGAACTGATTCTTTTTCATCATATTTTTTGAATATGTGTTGAAGTCGACTTCACACCTGCATGCCGTGGCCTACATATTAGCTTAGCTTACTTAGCCTATGTGACACATATTATAACTGCACAGGTTTGTTCATGGCAACTAAATGATTCAGGGGATGAACAAACTAACCACAGTCACGAGTGGTATTTAGGGTATGAATGAACAACTTGTAGAGTCTCCAAATATTCTTGTGTGTCAATTAACACCTAAAAAATATTTTCAGGAGTGCAACCAAAATTTACTGAGTGATATGGCAAGTAAATAATATGCAATAGTATTGGGGTCTTTTTAAGCATTAGGATTCTTGTTGATTTTTAAAAACTAGATTATAATGTCATTATATCACCTTTAGAAAAGATTTTTTTTGTTAAAAGGCTATGCTAACTTTACTCTGAGAGTAAGAGATTATAAGGGAAGTGCATTTGGATCAGTTTTTGACAGCGATGGCCTAGTGGTTGTGTAGCAAGTTCACTGACTGTCCTGTTCAGCTCTAATAAAACTGTGAACTCCAGTGATGTTAATCAGGTTACCGCAGCCCCCAGTGACTATAAAAATTCTTTCAACACCAATTTAAAGAAAAAAAATAAACAGTTTGTTGATTTGTTGATTTACTTGTGCAAACCACAGACAGACAGTAGTATTCCATGTACATGTACATATTCCATATCGCTGTTGTCGGAAGAAAACCTCGTATCTCCAAAATGGTAATGGTTTCTTTTGGCCCATTCTTTATGAAATTAACACACATTGTAAAGAGCAACAGGCATTTTCAAATTATGTCAATACCTGAAAAAAATGGAGATACAAGGTTTTCTTCCGACAGCAGCGATATACATGTATACATAACTGAACTTTTAACTGTTGTGTTCTGGTTAAACACACTCTATGCACTGAGGCACATATCATGAAAATCAGTGTGTAACCTTATGAATTGTCATTACCGAAACACATATTTTCTGCAATTAAGTAAACCTTTCTGTGTTTGAACAAAAAATATTATGTTTTTCTGTGTGTACAGCTGTTCTAAGCTGTGTTTGCTAGTCATGTAATGGCTAGCTTTTCTGAGTTATGCTCAAATTTAGCTACAACTGTCACTACCAAAACATTCTGTATAGCTTATATAGTGTTATGATTGTTTTAACAGTGACAAAATGGAATGTTTAATCATTTGTTTTAATGAAATGGCTACAAATTGTGTATTCCCATAGGCAATGACTGTGAACATACAAGGACTGGTTACTGGCACAGGCCTAATGCAACAGTTAGGTAAATGATTCACTAAGAATAAATAATTTTAATGAATTGAGTGAAATGATTCAAAACTTTGAAAAGAACTATAATGCCCGCAACTACCAAGTGCTTTCCTTTGCATCTTTGCATGTATCCTGCTTCCTTTTCTCATTCATCTCAATATGTAATGCACTTACCAATCTTCTTGACTTGTTCCCCCGGGTGGCACACTGTGTTTCTCACACATGAAATGCATTGTAGACTGGAGCAGTGATGGTCAGGCATACACTGACATTGAGTGCGCTCTGTTTTACTTGGATTAGTTTGATTCTGAAAAAATAGATCTGTTCAAAGAAGAAAAGGACAAGAGGGGTAGAGCTGAAATAAAAATGTGCAAAACACATGAGATGATTCAGCATAACACTAGTAGAAACTGTGAGCAAATTCAGTCAACACTAAAACAAACCCTAGTGGAAATTAAAGAAACGGTTGGGTCATGCTCACAGTAACGTTGCTAACAGTGACTAAAGGGAATCGCCACCAATTAGCATCATGAAAATGATGTCATGCTAATTAGCAGTTGGCCATTTAAGCATGTTCAGTCAGGCTTCTTCCTTATTTCATAGCATTTTGCTAGAACACAAGATGGAATAATTGGTACATATAGTACAGTGGGGAACCCTCAGCCTTTGGAGATGGCCTAATGATTTCTGTGAAATAAAAAACTACATGTCTGTGATTTTTTTGGTTAGTTTTTGTTTAACAGACTCATCTTTCTTGTTGTCTACCAATACTCTTATCTCATTAAGGCCCAACAGAAAACTGTCCAATCAGGATTTTATTTGTCAAGGTATTTAGGTAGATACAGCCTAGCTGGCCTTCCCCTAGGAACTGAACTGAAGGCGTAATGTGTCAGATTAAAAAGGATTCAATTTTTAAAAATTCTACATAATTAAATGTAATTTTCTTGAGAAAATTAGAGTCAGAACCAGATGCCCAGAGTGTTTAATACCAGTAAAGCTTCCTCCCAGAAAGTTTTTACATAAAATGGCTTCAGATACAAATGCAAGATGTCTGACTGTTTCATATTTTTAAACAAAATTTGTCTAAAATCCATTCTTGGCTTTTTTTTTCAGATTTGCCTTTATTTTGCCATCATTAACATTTTTAACATTACATATAAAGAAACATGCTGGCTCACAAATCATTATGGATACTACATAAAAAGGCTTCATTTGCACTGTAGATGGTGTGACCCCTGGTTCCTGTCACTATTTACAATATTACTATTGTAAAGACACCCGAGTCAACAAGTTTCTCTACAGTGCAGCTCTCTGAATGACTTTTCGTACATCTCAGTGATTGGACTAAGCAGACATTTTGAAAAATTCCCCAACATAATTAGGAATTGAGGAATTAACCAGTCACAGTTTGATTTACAACAAGTGGGGCCATTTCCATGAGGAACTTGATACGTCACTCACTACATGTATGAGCCGCAGTCTAACCTGGTTTCAGTGAGTTGTCAGAAATTGAACAGTAACAGTAGCTCTAAGCCAGGACCCTTTACTGAAGTAAAGTCACTGTAAAACTGCTACATACAAAGTAAAATACATGTTAATATCTGTTAAGCTTTACATAAAATATAGGACATGTCTTTTGAAGCTTCAAATGTTCATGTTCAGCCTAGAAGGCCAAAAAAAAAGTTTGTGAATTGCTATTAGCTTAGGGCTAACATACTACTAGATTCCCAAAGGGGTGCTAACAGAAATTAGCACTGTCTCAAAGGTGGTTTAACAATGATGGCCCAAACCGAAGGTCTAGCACTAGTAGTCATTGTTTAGTATGGAAGTATAGGTATTGATACATTGTGAAGAAAGACTGCCCTGTAGCTATGTGGCTCTGACCTCTAGTGTTAGGACATTTATTGGTACCTTTGCATTTTAAATAAATAGACTGAATTTGTTCAGGAATATAAACTCACTAGGGTCACAGGAAGGTTGCTGTTTGCATTTGGTCTCCTGAGTGAAACCGTCCTGGTATTCTCCATTTTCACAAGGCTGACAGTGTGGATCCATGCAGTCTGTATTCTGCTTCATCCTTGTACCTGCAACATAGTCACAGTGAACATTAATCTTTTTTTTGTCTGTAGAACGAGGGCACATCCAAAATCCACCACAAAACAAAACACAAGGTGCCACATTCAGTAATAGCTTGAATAATTCAGTTCAGGCCAAGAGCTGTCAAATAAATTTAAGACACATTAAGGCCGAATTCAAATACAGAACAGTTTGCGTGTCTTCACTCATTCAGTATGCTGTAGAGCCCATGTGTCAAACACAAGACCTGAGGAAAAAGTTCCCAGCAAGCTCTGCAACGTGTGCGCTCACCACTCCCCAACAATGATAAATGGGACAGCACCATTGATCACCAAATGATGCCAGGTGTACTACTGTACACTGGGGACATTTACAGAGGTTTAACAGTTATCCACAGCTATTGTAGTCTGTTGTTTTATATAAGACAATTTGTTTTTATTTAAGAATTATTTTTTAATCATTCAATTATTTAATGGCTATTTTTTTGCTGTTGTAGTTTTGGCATATTTTGAATGAAAGATGGCCAATTGGAGTCATAACAATATGTTAAATAAAAATGAAATAACACAGTTGGCCCAGGGATTGTTGAGATTCATGGCCGATTTAGTGGTTGAGTTTGGCCGCCCTGCTGTAAAGAATATTTTTTACTGATGGAGAATTCCATTCATTAAAGCAGACGTTACTATAAGTGCACTGTGAGGTCTTGTCATACCTGGGCCACACATCTTGCAGCACTGACCATCTTTAAGATACTCTCGCTCGTTACAGGAGTAAACCAGAGCAGGGAAGACCTAAAGGGGTTAACACAAAGTGAAAGTTACGAAGAACATCAGCGATCGAAGCAAAGAAAAGCGGACGTTTAGCCCAGAGCCCGCCTTGTCACAGGAAAGTCCCCAAAACTCTCAGCTTATGTTTACACGAAACTTAAACAGGCGCTCTTAAAAAACGACCAAAAACTCGTTAACACTGACGAAGCTGAAGTTAGCTTCTTGTTCGCCAGCTTCCTGTTGGAATTTTCTCGTTCCACCTTAAATGCTCGAGGCGCCAGAATGGAACTGCTGCACAATTTAAGGTGGAGCGTGATATTTCGAACAAGAAGCTGGCGAACAGAAAGGCAACTTCAGCCTCGTTTGACAATGTCTGAGGTGTAAAAACGTCATTCTGAAATATCTACGCAAAACTAGACTTTTGGCTACTCCATTATTTAGCATAGCCTGTACAAGCAAACCGAAACCGAAAGGAAAGGTGGGCTTTGATTAATGCCAAATAACGAATGATACGAATGAAAAAAGAAACGAAACTTATTATACACTTGAAATGCATGTCATTTTCTATGAAATACAGTAAAAGCATCCAATTCTATCAGTAAAATACAGCGCTCTTCGTCTAGTCACGTAGTCTACGTTTACTGCGCAAATCAAACAGCACATCGACAGCAAGGACATTTAACGTTACTTACCAAAAGAATAATGTAAATTGCCCTCATCTTTGATACTTTTAGATCGAAAACTACGAATGCAGGCGAAGAAACTCCACTAGCCACGAAAGCTCCGACCGTCTGTGAAGCAGAATGTTTCTGTTTTGTATGCTGTTGTTGAACACGCCCTCTGCTGCGCCCCTCTGGCTGCGACTTGAAGGGGGTTTCCGATTCCCTCTCAGAAAACAAGGCGGATCAACGTGACTATTTCCCAGCAACTCTCCTTTTATCCCGCAGTTTCCCTGCTCTGGCGTTCACCTCGCACTGACGTAATTCAGGCTTTCACTATCTGCACACTTTGTTGCGGCAGAAATCTGTGTGGGAGCCGGCCTCCCACCTCAGACCTGACTGATTCTGCTGAACGCGACCAGTGTTGTGACCTTCATGTGATGCTTTACATGCATTACCTGTTCATTATGGAAGCTCTTTTTCTTTTTTTCTTCCTTTTTTGAGGGTGGTTGAGGGGGTGGGTAGAGCACACACAGGTCTAAAGTATGTCACATTGTACTTGTACAGCTTAAAAAATAAGAACTGCAAAAGTACAAAAGTAGTATTTGTCCCTGAAGAGAGGAATTATGTTGTGGCAAAGGGATATTGGTCTGGGCTTTCAATTCAATCGATAGATAGATAGATAGATAGATAGATAGATAGATAGATAGTGTATCATGGAGGCCCATTCACGAGGGGGGAAAATGGTCTATGTTTCATTCTTCTTTATACTTCTACTTCGTGCCATGGACACTAACACAACCCATACCATGACAGACCCTGGCTTCTGAACTTTATGTTGGTAACATTTGGATGGTCCTTTTCTTCTTTGGCTCAGAAAAGAAAATGTCCATTATTCCCTAAACAATCTGAAAGGTTGACCTGTCAGACCACAATACACGTTTCCATGGAGCATCAGTCCATTTTAGATGAGCTTGCTGCCCAGAGAAGTTGGCAGTGTTTCCTTGACATATGGCTTCCGTTGTGCATTGAATAGTCTTAACTTGCATTAGTGAATGCAGTGATGGACGGTATTTACTGACAATAGTTTGTCAGAGTATCAGAGCATATAGTGGTATCCATGACAAAATAATGCCAGTTTATAATGCAGTGCTGTCAGAGGGAATGATGGTCATGGGCATTATTGACTTATTATGTTTAAATAATGATTTATTGTTCTAAACGCTACTACGCTACTACCAGAAAAAGAACAAAAAATAGGCAATAGTTTCTCTACCTGGGTTTACCATAATTTATTCTCCTCTTATCTAATGCCCGTTTGTACAGAAATAGTCTGATTTCGATTTGCACACAAATAAACATTATGTATGTATGTAAACAATAGTTTGCAATATGTAGAAACTTAATTGGCTGCTGAATGAACTATATCTGATTCAAAAAATAGAAAATATGCAATTTAATTTGTCAGAATCCAGTCTTTAACGGCACTATGCACTTGCTAACTCTGGCTTATGTGTTCTAGAAATCAGTTTGTTTCAGTAAAGTGGGTAAAACTATCAAATAAAAGTTAAAATGCTGATGTGATGGCATCTTGATTTTAGATTTTTAAAATAAGCAGGCCCGTGGTGCTTATGTCTTTAGTGAAAAGTTACACATCCATTTCTCAAGACTTGCATTGGATAATTTAACAAATAAGCACCAGGTGAATCCCGTCTTTTTGTTGGTGTTTCCAGTAGACTGCTCTACAAATGTTAAAGCCAGGACAATTTGCTGTCAGATTTCAAGAAGTAGTAGGAAATCCCCCAGTCTGAGGAAGTTCAAACCGGCTGTACACATCAGTAGTTTTAGGGGCATACCTGAGTGGTCAAAATGCTCTCCGCTCTCCTAGTGCAAACAACAGTTTACACTAAGTTGATACTTTGTAATTGCCTCTGTTAAGTACAGACAAATGTACGTCACTGGGGACACACTGAATTTGAAACGGACAAAGAACAAAAGAAAAAAAACAAGCAGCAGACATGATCTGACTTCCCAAATATAACAGGAACTTACAGAAAGTAATGTCATCAGCAAGTATCTGTTTCACTTCCAAATGGAAATAAAACTGGTGTTTTTTTAATGTTTCAAAGGAAAAACGACCAAATGTACCCCTCCCCCATTTCAGTACTTGAAGATGATTTTCCTGGTAAGGTTTTTCCTGGAATTTTATTAGAGATGATGTTACATGAATCATGGAATAACCCAAACCTTTGTCATTAAAGTCCTGGTGGCCCTGTATAAACTCTAATGCACAAAAAGGTCTAATCACGCTGAATTGTTACCTATTACCTGGAGTCACTCCTGCTCCATCAGCGACCCTGGTGACTTCTCTCGGTGGACCTTGCACAGATCTTACAGAATGTGAAAAAACACCACTATGAAGACTATCTAAATCTTAGATTAGTTATTAGGTCTTTCTGGTCCAGATGGCTGAAGCAGTAGTTCATGGTGTCCACGGTGTGCTGCTGAAGGTCTCAAACTGAAGAACCCAACTCACTTCCCAAGTCCAGAGAGGAATGCTAAGGTGTCACTAAGGCCCAATCCCATTTCACCCCTTGCCCCTACCACCTAGCCCTTAGCCTTCTGTTTTGCACATTCATGTCTAGGGTGTCGCAAGTTTTGTTGAGATAGAGGGGTAGGGCGAAGTGTTAGGGCTACATGGCCCTCCAAACAGAGGTTTTTCAGAGTCACTCCAAACGGAGTCTTTTGAGAAAAAAAAAGAAAAACCCAGCAAGATGGCTGTGCGAGCGACCAAAGAAACCCACAAATGTAAGTATTTTCTCCGTTAAAAAATTATAATAACCATTGTCTTTTCTTAGTTTAATGTAATTTCAATGTATTATGGTCATCTTCTTTGTAACAAGCATAAAAAAATCACTAATAGCATGCTAATGTCTCAGTAGCTAGCTAGCTAACTTTCCCGTTCCACCTTAAATAGTCCAGCAGTATTGACGCCTGAAGCGCCAGGATGTAACTGCTGCTCCATTTAAGGTGGAACGGGAAAATTCGAACAAGAAGCTGGTGAATACCTGACTTCAGCTTCATATCACTTAAGAATTAGCGGTGGGCGATAATAAATAATTGTCTTATACCCCCTCTTTGGAAGCATATGATGCCCTAAATGCAACTAAAGCCCAGCAGCGAGGTTGCTGAACTTTTCCCTTCTCTGCTATCACTGCAGACAGGCCAGGTTGCCTACAGAGCACCGCTAGTAGCCTGTTAATGAAGCAATGTCTAATTCGAGGGTTGTCCCAGTTCGTAGGGCAAGTTTTTAACCACTACCCCTTGTAACTACCCCTTCTAACTTCCAAGGGGTTAGGGTGACACTTGAAAACAAGGGGTATGGGTATAAAGAAGAAATGGGATTGCGCCTAAAATATACAGGGCAGGGGTGCTCCAGGACCAGGAGTGAGATTCAAAGTTGTAAGTTGTACATATTTCTGTTCCCTTGAGATGTGTGGACTATGTATAAAGGGCTATGATTCCTAAAAATCTGAATTCCTCAAGTTTAAAATAACATATTCTAAATAATGTAAATATATCAAATGTATTGTATCTTGCAAGTATACACTGATTATAAATTTGTTTCAGGAAGTATACCATTATGTAACATCACCTTAACCTTTAACAACATTTAATCATTTGGGGAATAAGGACACCAGTTAATCCAGTTTTGAAAGCAGAATTGTTTGCCATTCTTCCTTGATTCATATCTTCAGCTGTTCAACCCTACAGGGCCTCCATTGTTATATTTTGCACTTCATAAGGGGCCCTGTGTTTTGGTGCAGGCCAGTCCAGCACCCTGCACTTTCCATTTACACAGCTATGCTGTTGTAATGTTCATAATGTTTTTTTTTCCCCAATTTTCTCCGCAATTTAGTCGTCTCCAAGTCTTCCACCCACTTCCTCTGAGACCTGTGAAGCCAACCGCCGCATCTTTTCGAACTGCGGCTCATGCAACGTCATTGGACAGCAAGGAAAGCGCCAACTGCCAGATCTGTTAGGTCAGCTAACAGACGCCTGCGCTGACTATCATTGTGTTGAGTAATGGGGGGAGGAGGGGGGGCATCCCACCCACCCACCCACCCAGTGTGCTCTCTTGGACTCCCGGCCACAGATGGCTGTAGCATCATCAGGGATCGAACTTGTGATCTAAGCGTTGGCCCTATCATCATCTTAGACATTCTGAAAGGTTGACTTGTCTGACCACAGTACACGTTTCCATGGTGCATCAGTCCATTTCAGATGAGCTTGCACCGTTTTGGATGTTGTTTATGTATGGCTTACAATGTGCACCATACAGTCTTGATGTGCATTTACGGATGCAGCCCATGTGGTAATATCCATTGCAGAAGCATGCATGTTTTTAATAGAGTACCGTCTGAGAAAACAAAGGACATGGGCATTCAGTTGTAGTTTTTTTTGTTTAAAAAAAGGATACATTTGATGAGGTAAAACATTAAATATACTATCTTTTTGTTTAAATAAAGGATAAAATGGATTCATAAATCAATGCTTTCTGTTTTTGTTTGCATTTCACATTAAAACAAACCTTTTTGGAATTAAGGTTCGAATATGGTTCACTCAAATCAGACATTGGACACTTATAGTCATTATTTCAGTTCAAATACAGCAGTCTGTGCACACTGTCCAGTATTTGAGAAAAATCATTATTTCTTGATTATCTTTTTTTTATTTGAAAAATTGCCTTTACAGCTGTTACATGGCAGCTATAATGGATCTCTTATTGAATTTCATTTCATGCATATCCTTTAATGAATATTAGACTACTGGTTTAATGCATTTGTTTCTGGACAGTTGTTGAAATTTTGACCTGTTATTACATTGTTATAACTGTTATTAAACTGACTTTTCTTGTTCATTCATAATCTGTAGGTTGCTCGGACACTCTTCGTGGCTTGGTTCTACTAAGTGCTTTGCACAACTGCGCCTTCTAATGGATAAGACTAAATTTACTACCTTACTTTATTATTTGTTTTGAGCATTTTTATAATTTATTTGCAGTGAAATTGTACTGCTGTTTATGTGCCTCAAACAGGGCCATTTCTGAGCATATGGGGGCCTTATTTGCTATCCTACTTGGGGAGCTCACTGGACTGAAGCAGAGCAGAGATAATTTACATCAGTCTTAAAGACACAGTCACAAAAAGAGCCTCTTTAAAGTCAACCTAAAATCAAAATTGTTGTTTTATAACTTGTCAGTTCAAGTCCACTAAGCTGAATTAGGTATATCTTACCTTTTCTTGTTTCCTAGTTTTTGT